TCCTGTGCAAATCTCTCTCAGGTTAGAAATTCAATTATTGTATCACACATGCCCAGGGTGGTCTCTGAAAGAATGAGCATCCACATCTGGATGCACTGCCCGGATGTTGACTTAGCGTCCCATGACAGTGGCAAATCTCTGCTTGTCTATTTGGGACAGCAGAAGGACAATAACAACCTTCCTGGTGCCAAGAGCCAGGTGGGAAGGGTGAGAGAAAGGAATCTTCAAAATGGGTCTAGTTGCATTTCCTGATGGGCTGTGATTCATTAAGGAAGCTGTAAAACAGCTCTCGTTGTGAGAAACTCTCCTGTGGGCAAACAGTGAGCTAATACTTGATCTCTAGTGAGATCAGTGAACAGCCCTTCTCAAAAGCTTGGCCAGAGGGACCAGCAGTTAGCATGATGTCTATGTCACTGAACTCTCATGTAGCTAACCGCGGTTCGAGTCCCGGACCCAGTGGCTTAAACTCACGCCGGGCGTGTGTGCGTGCGTGTCCAAGATTGTGAGAGGAGAGGGGATTGTGGTGTGGCCATCCCCCCTGGGGGGTGATTTTTCGCTTTCTGTCTCTGTCTTTTGGGTGAGCGCATGCACCCTATAACAAAAACCTTTCCAAAAAAAAAAAAAAAAAAAAAAAGCTTGACCAGAGTGAGTCTGTTTTAATAAGCTGGCTCTATCTTAATATATATTATGTGAGTGTCCATTTCCTAGAATAGTGACTCTTCCTAAGGAGTCCCTGTCCTATTTACCTACTTATTAGGTCTAATTCCTGTCTCAAAACTGATAAAGAGCAGCAATGACAAGTGTAGACAGACAGATATCTGGATATAGCTTGTACATATTTATGTCAATTAAAAAAGTTATAGGATTCTTCAAAGACATTTTATTTGCTTTAAATTCAGCTCAAGGACTCTAAAAATCAGCTTAAGAAGTGAAGATTTTCAGGAGACTAAATGATGCTGAGGAAACGATGGCAGTCATCACATGAATTTTAAATTTCTGCAATTGAGAGAAACACAACAAAAGGACCAAATCAAGAGCCAGATTTAGGATGGCCAGATCAGCACTTCCTGATTAACTAGAAAAGCTAAAGCAAATCTGCCCAGCAATTTCAAGTTCCTTTTTTTTTTTTTTTTTGGAGGTTTTTGCTATAGGGCTTGTGTACTCGCCAGAAAGACAGAGACAGAGACAGAAAGCAAGAAATCACCCCCCAGGGGGGATGGCCAGACCACAATCCCTTCTCCTCCATTCTCCTCTTGAGATCTTGGGCATGCACACAAAGGCACCCAGCATGTTTGAAGCCACCACGTCGGGGAGTAGAACCGCAGTCAACTAGGTGGGAGTCCAGCGACAACCATTACGCTATCTGCTGGTCTCAAAGCATTAATCTTCTAATAAAGAGAATTAAAGTACTTGTGAGTTTTTAGACTTCAAACTTAGTCCAAGATAAATTCACTTACTACACCAACTGTGTCTGATACAAGAAGGAAAGGCACCAAGAACTTTTAACATGAGAGTTTTGGCCCAGACTGGAAGCCCTGAAAGGCTTCCTATCTAAAAAAGATACAGGGTCAGTATAGGTTATTTGTGTCGTTTCTTTTTATTTGCTTACATCTGTTAAATAAAACCTGTTTAATTTGAAAAAATACCACAATGTATCTTCCATTAAAAGTTACTCATATTGAAATACTATTAATGCTTTAACTTTCTTTATTAGAAAATGCATAACTAGTTGGTGAAGGCATCAATTAACTCCCTTTCAGTTACCTACCTCAAAGATGCTCCAGGGAGCAGATAAAAAAGAACAAAATAAAAGTCCTGATAAAGTGGAGAACTTAATTAAAAAACCATGGCAAAAATGTCATTTAACTAGTCTATGAAAGAAAGTGTTAGAGAGATCAGGATATCTTAATGGTTCAGGATCAGTCATGTTCTGGGGCAAGTACGACTGTTTAGAGTGCTAACACCTCTTCTTACAGCATCTAATTGCATGCTGAGGAAATCCCACTTTGCATCATTACCTGTCCCCATCCACGACCTAACTATGAATCAACATTAAAACTTCATGACATTTTGGAACCAGCATATGGCATAGCAGTTATATTGCTGGCTTCCCATATGGCCAACCATGGTTCAAGTCCTAGACCTAGTGGCTTGAAAATCATGCCAGGTGTATGTGTGTATGTGGCCAAAATCCCGAGAGGAGAAAGTAAAAGAAGGGATTAGGACATGGCCATCCACTCTGGGGGGTGATTTTTCACTTTCTGCCTCTCTCTGTGTTTCTCTGGTGAATGTATACACCCTATATGAAAATTCTCTGTGAAAAACAAACAAACAAAAAATATATTTTCCAAGTCCCCTAATATATTTATCTCACAACTGGATTCTGGACAGTATGTTGCTTTGGCATTAAGGATCATAGCTGCTGTTTTCTCATGCTAAAATAAGGCACAAAGTGATTAACAGGGCATTGTAAAAGTGAAAATGCAAGTGTTCTTTTAGCAAAACAGGTTCATTATCTTCCACATGAGCTGTGAAAAGCATACTGGAAATAAAAATACCATCTCACATAAGCCTGACAGTTGCAGAAGAGACATTCTATTGGGTTGTCAGGAAAGTCATGATGTATTTTTTTTTTTGCTGTTTTTCTATGCAAAAATGCATCATGACTTTTCTGACAATCCAAAACAGACTACCTAGGATATCTAAAACTATACAGATTTTATTAAAAAAAAAGAAAGAAAAAGAAAACTTAAACAAAGGGAGGAAGAAATGTTTCTGGTATTTTTAGCTTCTCACTAAAGAAAGTAAAAATGTAGAGAAGTAACATATTTACCTTGCTCGTTAGATTCTCTTACATAGGGCTTAAGGTGGGACATTTTGATCGGCCTTTTAAGTCTTGCCCCAGTGTTGTCCCGCAGGACAGCACATCCACTTTCTGTAATGTGGTCTATAACACAAGGACCGACCCATTCGGACTGGAAACGACCATCCTTCCACCAGTTTTTCCTTTGTCTTAAAACTTCATGACCCACTTTTAAATGAAACGGATTTAATTGCTTTGGTTTCTTTTTAATGGTGATCTTGCTTTTATTTAGTTCATTCGAATGATTGTTTTCCATCTGCAAATGCAAAAAAAAAAAAAAAACAGAACAGAAGACGAGAAAGCCATAATTACTTGAAGGTACATGCAGATAATGATAATATAACAAAATAGACATTTATTGAGATGGCACTAATAGGTAGGCATGGATCCTATTTAATTCTTAAAACGTTTCAAAGTCAGTATTATTATAGGTTAATTGGAGGTTTTTGCTATAGGGCTTGTGCACTCGCCAGAAAGACAGAGACAGAGACAGAAAGCAAGAAATCACCCCCCAGGGGGGATGGCCAGACCACAATCCCTTCTCCTCCATTCTCCTCTTGAGATCTTGGGCATGCACACAAAGGCACCCAGCATGTTTGAAGCCACCACGTCGGGGAGTAGAACCGCAGTCAACTAGGTGGGAGTCCAGCGACAACCATTACGCTATCTGCTGGTCTCAAAGCATTAATCTTCTAATAAAGAGAATTAAAGTACTTGTGAGTTTTTAGACTTCAAACTTAGTCCAAGATAAATTCACTTACTACACCAACTGTGTCTGATACAAGAAGGAAAGGCACCAAGAACTTTTAACATGAGAGTTTTGGCCCAGACTGGAAGCCCTGAAAGGCTTCCTATCTAAAAAAGATACAGGGTCAGTATAGGTTATTTGTGTCGTTTCTTTTTATTTGCTTACATCTGTTAAATAAAACCTGTTTAATTTGAAAAAATACCACAATGTATCTTCCATTAAAAGTTACTCATATTCAAATACTATTAATGCTTTAACTTTCTTTATTAGAAAATGCATAACTAGTTGGCGAAGGCATCAATTAACTCCCTTTCAGTTACCTACCTCAAAGATGCTCCAGGGAGCAGATAAAAAAGAACAAAATAAAAGTCCTGATAAAGTGGAGAACTTAATTAAAAAACCATGGCAAAAATGTCATTTAACTAGTCTATGAAAGAAAGTGTTAGAGAGATCAGGATATCTTAATGGTTCAGGATCAGTCATGTTCTGGGGCAAGTACGACTGTTTAGAGTGCTAACACCTCTTCTTACAGCATCTAATTGCATGCTGAGGAAATCCCACTTTGCATCATTACCTGTCCCCATCCACGACCTAACTATGAATCAACATTAAAACTTCATGACATTTTGGAACCAGCATATGGCATAGCAGTTATATTGCTGGCTTCCCATATGGCCAACCATGGTTCAAGTCCTAGACCTAGTGGCTTGAAAATCATGCCAGGTGTATGTGTGTATGTGGCCAAAATCCCAAGAGGAGAAAGTAAAAGAGGGGATTAGGACATGGCCATCCACTCTGGGGGGTGATTTTTCACTTTCTGCCTCTCTCTGTGTTTCTCTGGTGAATGTATACACCCTATATGAAAATTCTCTGTGAAAAACAAACAAACAAAAAATATATTTTCCAAGTCCCCTAATATATTTATCTCACAACTGGATTCTGGACAGTATGTTGCTTTGGCATTAAGGATCATAGCTGCTGTTTTCTCATGCTAAAATAAGGCACAAAGTGATTAACAGGGCATTGTAAAAGTGAAAATGCAAGTGTTCTTTTAGCAAAACAGGTTCATTATCTTCCACATGAGCTGTGAAAAGCATACTGGAAATAAAAATACCATCTCACATAAGCCTGACAGTTGCAGAAGAGACATTCTATTGGGTTGTCAGGAAAGTCATGATGTATTTTTTTTTTTGCTGTTTTTCTATGCAAAAATGCATCATGACTTTTCTGACAATCCAAAACAGACTACCTAGGATATCTAAAACTATACAGATTTTAATAAAAAAAAAGAAAGAAAAAGAAAACTTAAACAAAGGGAGGAAGAAATGTTTCTGGTATTTTTAGCTTCTCACTAAAGAAAGTAAAAATGTAGAGAAGTAACATATTTACCTTGCTCGTTAGATTCTCTTACATAGGGCTTAAGGTGGGACATTTTGATCGGCCTTTTAAGTCTTGCCCCAGTGTTGTCCCGCAGGACAGCACATCCACTTTCTGTAATGTGGTCTATAACACAAGGACCGACCCATTCGGACTGGAAACGACCATCCTTCCACCAGTTTTTCCTTTGTCTTAAAACTTCATGACCCACTTTTAAATGAAACGGATTTAATTGCTTTGGTTTCTTTTTAATGGTGATCTTGCTTTTATTTAGTTCATTCGAATGATTGTTTTCCATCTGCAAATGCAAAAAAAAAAAAAAACAGAACAGAAGACGAGAAAGCCATAATTACTTGAAGGTACATGCAGATAATGATAATATAACAAAATAGACATTTATTGAGATGGCACTAATAGGTAGGCATGGATCCTATTTAATTCTTAAAACGTTTCAAAGTCAGTATTATTACAGGTTAAGTAATTTCCTGAAGTGAAACAACCTGAACACTTGGATCCAGGAGCACTTGATTCCAAACTCCAAGGTTTTCTTGCTACTGTCTCAGAATTTCATAGCTAATACCTATTTAATGCAAGCAGAATTCTACAGATAAAAGATACCAATTTAAGGATATAATGTGCGTGAGCACACACATATACATGCAGAAATTTAAAAAATAAATACCACTTCAGTTTTAAACGATAGCTTTTCATTGAGTAGAATCACCTGGCCCACTGAAGTTGTGTCATTCTCCATTATTTTATCAGCTTCTTTAATTGCATCTAGAATTTTAGTAAACATTCTTGTATTATCACCATCCACTTCGTGAACAGTATCTGAAGTATCGGGCATACAAGGATTTCGATTAAACATTTGAAAGTATGGAGTACTTTTAGAAGGCTCCTATGTTAAAGAAAACAACAGCAAATAAAACAGTTAGCCAAGAAACTTTCATAACTCAGAAGTACAGAATTATAAAAAGGCACATACCAAGTGAATTACATTGAAGGCAAATGAAACAGCTGCCAGGTGATCATCCCAGTTGTTTGGGTGGTCAGCGCAGTGTTTGGAGAGAAATGTTTTGATTGTGGTAGGTGTACTTTCAGTTGGATTAACAGTTCCAGAGGCATGAGGGATCACAATCTGCTTTGTGCCAAACAATCCACACAGTTCAACATTGATCTGAAAAGCACAAAAAAAAGCTGCTTTAAAAAAATCAGGGGCTAGCAGGTGACATGGTGGTTAAGGTCGCTGGACTTCCCACATGGCTGACCACGGTTCGAGTCCTGGACCTGGCAGCTTGCTTTCTCACTTTCCTTCTCTGTCACTCTGGTCAAATATAAATAATTAATCAATTAATTAATTAATAAAGTTAAAGGAAATAATTCTTTTTTAAAAATTAAAAAAAAAAATCTGTATTCTGGGCCAGCAGGTGGTATGATGGCTAAGGTGATGGACCATGGCCCTACATGGCCAACCATGGTTTATCCTGGACCTAGCAGCTTGGATATCACACCAGGTACAGGTGCATGTGTGCCCAAAAGCTCAGGAAGAGAATGGAGAAAGGACTGTCACATGGCTATCCTGTGTAGGGAGGTGACTTCTCACTTCTCCCTCTGGCAAGTGCATATATGCCCTATAGCAAAAACCTGGAAAAAATGTGACTCTTACCTTTTATACTGACCATAGCCATTCCATACTAAAACATACAAATTTTGTTTAAAATAGTAGTTGCTATTTATTGAACCCTTACTATGTGTTAGAACACCCACTAGATACCTCACAGTATTGTTATTAAACCTTATGACAATTTTATCAGGTATTGTAAAGCCCATTTTAAAGATAAGAAATGGGCTGGCTTCACACGGCAGTGGGTAAGCCCTGTGTCTGCTGAGCTAGAGGACATATAGCTAGACACGGTTGGACTGGTGGCTTGAAATACATGCCAGGGGTGTGTGCACGCACGCGTGCGCGGCTTGCATGCCCCCAATCCTGATAGGATGGAGGAAAAAGGATTGCAGTATGATCATGCCCTACTGGAAAGGTGATTTCTCTCTCTTGCCCTCTGGAGAGCACAAGCACCCTCTGGTAATAAAAAAACAAACACAAAGCCATTAAAATAACAGAGGATAAGAAGCTGAAGATTAAATGCCTTGGCAAATACACACATACATTAAGGATACGGATGAATAGAATTTAACAATGACTCTAAGTTCAAGTAATTTTTAAATCCAGGAGTAAGTCTCTCTAATAGTAGGTCACATAATCCATTTAAATGGTATTTGATTTTGGCCAAGTCACTGAAACTCTCTGTACTCAGTTTCCTCACCTGTGAAATGAGGAAAATCTCATCCATGAATCTTTCAAGGACTGAGTTAATGTTTGTAAAGCACTTAAAACAGTCCTTGGCATGCAGTAAGCACTTGGTGACACTTAGTTGCTCTATTTCTGTTATATGATGTGCAGGGCCTCAAATAAGTCAAGGGAGTTCAGAAAACTGGTGACAGTAAGCCTCTTATATGGATCATACCTATTCTTCCTACCTTGTCCTTCCGACTGTTGCCCCTCGTTATTAGTTGAGCAGACATTTGGCTGATAAATTTATTTTGAAAGAAGAATATTTCAGAATGAGACAATAACTAAAATGGTAAAGCTAATAAAAGAGAAACAAAAACTCATCTATTGGGTTGTTGGAAAAGTGATGATGTATTTTTTCATTTTTCTATGCAAAAAGGGCACATGACTTTTCAGACAATCCAATATATTTCTCAAGGTCCCTTGCAAGCAGGGATAGAGGTGTGACACAGGTTTGGCCAAAAAGATGTATGTGAAAATTGACGGGCAAACTCAAGTGGTACAAGATGTTTTTGCTCATTGCCCCTCCAACCCTACGTCTTTCTAACTGGAATGTAGATACTGCGTGATGGGCTTGGGCAGTCATGATGTGAACACGAGATGAGAGTTAGACCCCAAAGATGCTGGGACATAGGTTTCCAGTAATATTCAGAGCTATCCTTGGCCTCGGACAGCCTGGCCTTCTCTTATCTGAGTACAAAATGAACTCCTACTGGAGTGTACTTACCAGGGAAGGGAAGGGTGCTCTCTGCTGGTTGTAGCTAAACACAGTTCCTCGTTGACATATCTGTACTCACGCAGGATGCCTCTTTTTATTAAAAAATACAGAAAGAAATCCCTGAGGCTGTTATTTGGGTCAGCTTCAATCTGAGGTCCTAATAAGTGCTTTTAAATGACCCTTCATAGTTTTTTTTTCAACAGGTTACCTAGGAATAATCTTGTGAATATGTTCATGAAATACTATCTTGATATACATGCCTGGTGAGCCTCCCCTACCCTGCCCAGTCAACTAGATAGTTCATTGGTCATTAAAATTTTAATTTTCCACAAGGCATTTTTTGAAGATTAATTTTCCCATTGAGGATGTTTATTCTCTTTCCTGCAGAGGTTTAGAGAAAGGTACTTGAGTATTTTATTTAAACAATTTAGCAAATATGCTAAGCCGAGGTTAGAAGTGTTCACATTTTTATACAAGTGTATAATACCCCCCACATTGTATAGTATCTTCTAAGTTTATTTTGATGATTTAGCAGTCAGTATTTGCTGACAAAATAATACATTTTATTTTGCTATCATTATGCAAAAAGAACAAGCTTTTTAAATAATATGTGACTTTTTATTTATTATTAATGAACATCGCAAAAGAGGCATGTAAACATTTACTGTTAAATTTAGTGAAATTAGAGTGCGAGTGCTCGTCAGAAAGACAGAGAGAGACATAGGACAGGAAGCGAGAAATCACCACCTGGGGGGATGGCCACGCCGCAATCCCTTCTCCTTTCTCCTCTCGGGATCTTGGGCGGGCACGCACGCACACGCGCCCGGCCTGAGTTTAAGCCAAGGGATCCTGGACTCGAACCACGGTTGACTACGTGGGAGTCTAGTGACATAGCCATCACGCCAACTGCTGGTCCCAAGTTTAGTGAAATCTCAAAGAGTTCTGGATTATCACAACTTTAAGCATTACTGGAAAAACTGATGAATTAATCAAAATAGCTTTATTCTCCAATAGCTAGTAACGCGGAACACTCTATTCACCTAAGATAAGGCTCTTCATGACTAAAGGTAGAAACCAATCACTATTTCAGATCTTCCTGATAATTTTGAATTTTGATGGCCAATTCTTAAAAGAACACATTAATAATTAACATTTACTTTCATCGCATTAATATGTCTAACACCTAATACCAGAAGTTAAATGGAATAATTATCTCTAGCCAATGCTTGTGATTGACAGGTGTTTGCATTTTAGTATTAGCTTATTTCACTGCAAGAAATTAAAGCTACCCCAGCCATTCTGTGAGGAGTAGTGAGGTGAAAATCAGATAATATCCTTACATTTAATTAACTACGAAAAGAAAAAGTGAGATCACTGAGATTGCTTCTTCTTGCTGTGGGTTCTCACTTTTCTCTTAGGATAAGTTCACATGTTATCTATAAAACACAATCATCTGCCTTGTTGGGTGAGTTGGGATGCTATCAATATTAGTAAAGCATCATTTCTTTCTTACTTTTTGATTAAAAAAGAAATAAATATATTTTAATATAACAAAAGTATTTTTAAAACATGGGAGTTTTAAAATCACTTTTATTTATTAAAAAATATAACGGTTTTCCCCAAAACTGGATTGTGTCAGTAAAGGGAGGCAAGATTAGCTTGCATTTAAAACACATTCAAGACTTGTGTGTGGCTTAACACGACGAAGTTTTACTTCTTGCTGTGTAAAGTCAGCTTTTGGTCTGAGTGCCTCTCCAAGGCAGGTGTTCTTCACTAGGTTCCTCAGCAAGCCTGGCTGAGAGAAGTTCCATCATCCTATAGTGCAGCATCTGTAATAGTCAGTGACTTCCCGTGGCTGGAGACGGAGGAATTGAGCAGGAGCTTTTCATTACCTCAGGCTGAAAGTGACAACCATACAAGGATGGCTCTTGACAAGTGTCTAGGAACTTGGGTTTTGGTTACCAGCAAAGGGTTCCCATCACTCCCTAACTGGTAAGGGTGGCTCGGCATGCCTAAACAGTTCATGCTAACAATGTGGTTGATTAATTAAACACCTTCCTTCTTTCAGAGGGTCTGAAATTTTGTAACATGCCAGGTAGAGGGTGCCCATGTGACAAACTCCAAATTAAAACCTAGGCATTAATACCTAATGAGCGTCTCTGGTAGGTAACATTCCTTAGGTGCTGTCACACTGCATTATTAAGGGAACTAAACATGTCCCGTGTGACTCCACTGGGACAGAAGATCTTGGAGACTTACACCTGGTTTCCTCTGGACTCTCCCCATGCACATTTTCTCTGGGCTGCTTTTGCATTATATTTGTTGAATAACTAATGACTAAATCTTAGCCATAAACGTGACTGCACGCTGAGTGAGTTCTCCTGACCAATAATGGAACCCAGGGACAATTAGGCACACCTGAGAGTTCCAAATTACTTACTAATATAACTTCAGGTACTTTTTTTTGAGAGATTTTCACTATAGGGCGCGTGCGCTCGCCAGACAGACAGAGAGAGACATAGAGACAGAAAGTGAGAAATCACCCCCCAGGGAGGATGGTCACGCTGCAATCCCTTCTCCTCCATTCTCCTCTCGGGATCTTGCGCACGCACGCACACGTGCCCGGCGTGAGTTCTAAGCCACCGGGTCTGGGACGCGAACCGCAGTCGACTACGTGGGAGTCCAGCGACATAGCCATTACGCTAACTGCTGGTTCCCCAGGTATTTCTTTTGAATTGGGTCATCAAGGGTGCTATGAACCAAGAAAGTTTGACACCTCTGATTTTTCTTTTATCAATACTATGTCAATTATAAAATTTTAAAAATATGCCTTAAATCTAGTAGTTATTTCGTTTTCAGAATTTTCAAATAAATTCTTGCCTGCTTTTTAATTTTTATAGGGTACACACACTCACCAAATTGAGAGAGATAGAGAGGGAAAATAAGAAATCATCTCCCAGAAGTGATGACCACACAGCAATCCCTTTTCCTCCATTCCCCTTTAAGAATTTTGGATATGCATGCATACATGCCTGGCATGATTTTTAAGATGCCTGGTCTGGGATTTGAACTATGGAGTCGACTATATGGGATCCAGCTGCCTTAACCTCCACACCACCTGCTGGCCTGCCTGCTTGGTTATTGTGTGTGTGTGCGTGTGTGTGTGTGTGTGTGAGAGAGAGAGAGAGAGAGAGATTAACTTTAATCTGGAAAAATAGCAGAACAAGGGAAAAATACATTTTAATATTATTTGAATAATGAATATTCTCACTCATGAATATGATACATTTTTTCTGTTTAGTCAAGTCTCCCTTGACCAATCACAGAATCTTTAGGCTGTAAATAAACAAAGATTATTTGGTCCAACATCCTCATTTTCGTTTGAAGAGACCCAAAGATAAGTTTGTAATGACTTGGTATCATAATTAAGTACTAAAATCCTGATCTAATTTCCAGATTAACGACTCTTACGGTACACAGTATTCTCTCTACCTTAATATAACACAAAGGAGACTGTGTTATATTAAGATAAGATATTCTTCTGGACCTAAGTAGTTTATTTATCTTACCTGTTGAATGAATTCATCTCTTTGGTCCATTATTACTTTCTGGGGAGGTCCATATAAGAAAAATATACTGATAATAGCTTTAGAAATTTCTGATGCTGAAACATCACACAGAGGCAAAATTACAACCCATTTTGTGAACAAGTACAAATCTGTCATGATTATAGCATAGACATGACTTCCGTGGCTTGTATGAAAAGGTCCCAGGAGATCAACAGTAACTATACTCCACGGATTTTCCACCTTGAGAAGGTGCTGTTTAGGTGCTAGAATGACTGTATTTTTTGCCACTTGGCAATGCTGACAAGAATATACCTAAAAACAGGTACACAATAAAGAAAATATACATAAATGTTAATATAGTCAACATACTAGAAAGCAGTTTTACAAATCTGAATTAAAATTTTTTTTCCAATTAAAGCTATTTCATTGCAAATAACTTCTGATCATTTCCCAAAATCAAATCTCTTCTCAAATAATGAAGATTTGACAAAGATTTTACTGAATGTCTGTAAAAGAAGGTGTGGCAGTTTCTGAAGGCAAATACAAATATCAAGGTCTTTGGAATACCAGCACAGACCCATGAAATGAAAACTCACAAATGATACTTAGTTAAATGTTATTTTAATTTTTATGGCTGAACTGCTAGTCTTTTTGATGCACTATTTCAATTGTTAAAAAGAGCTCACATAGACTGAGGAAATCCTGCTATTTGGCATCTATTGAGTCGTTGGCAAAGTCATGATATATCTGTAGATATATACCCAACAGTGTATCAGGAAGAGAAAGGATATACTCAGGTGTTCAGAAAGAGTAGGGATCAGGTGTCCTAACTCCGAGGACCTCAGAATTCCTATGTGAATTTTCTATTAGAAGGTGAAGGTCAGAATGAGTTTTAAAGTTACAGAAGTCACACTTCATTATGTTCATAATTTGATTTTGCATTTGTTTGGTTTTTAGGTTTCTGCCGTGTTTGATATTTTTACCTCAAAAATGGAGGTACATCGTGGGCTGATTATTGGATCAGATTACTGAACATACTCTCCTTTAGAGACAAACTTGTGTTACTGCTATTAAAGAGGTAATGATTCAGTCAAATGAATTTCGGCCCCATTTAAATTCTGCCTACACAAAGTAGTTCTATAATGAAAATCTGGCTCTAAATAATCTTTCATCTAAACATGGCATTTTTTCAGTAGCTCAAATACTGCTTCATTTTACCTCAAATTATAATTTTGTAATATGAAATTGGGAAGGGAAATAAAATCCCTTTAAATGTCTTATGAATAGAAACTAACCACACAAAATGACAGTTACTTAATAAGAGGTAATACCTAGAATAAACCTGGAACAATAATAAATACTGATTATCTATTAGAATATTGATTATCTATTAGAAATATATTGTTTAAAGTATTCTAAATACATAAGCCATACCCACTGTTTGACATCATTGGTCACAGAAGTCCAATAGTAATTGGATTCCACTAGGGTGAGGGTTCTGGATATGCCATGATGAGCCCCAGTATCATTTTCATGGCATTCTCTTAGGACTTTCTTTTTTTCCTCTTCTGAAACAATTACCAAACGACTTTGTTTTCTGTCTTTTCCAACATAAAACAGCTTTTTTTCTAGAATAAATAATATCAAAAAGATAGAATTGCAAAACTATATCTAGTTTTAAGGTAATCACAGCCTTAGCATCAAAACCATGAGTATTGTCCTATTTTTACAATATCTTTATCCATTTAAAACAGAGAATTTATTTGTAATAACACCATATAATCTGAAAGGCCTTCAGCTGTTATACTTACTAGACATCTAAGAGGAACACTAGCTGTTATACTTTTGTAGCTATCAATAGAAGTACAGTTATTTGTTCATCAAAGCATGTAACAGTCATGGGAGTATAAAATTATTTTTCTATGGGAATACTCAAACTAAGAAAACACTTGTAAGACTCTCCTGAAAATGGCATAAATTAGCAAGTGAATTACATACAAATAAGTAATTTCTGGGAACAGAATTTTGTAAAATACACTAGCACTTCATCATAACTACATTTTTATAAGCAACCACCTCTGATTTCTCTATATTTGAGTAGAAATTAAGGATGATAAAGTGAGAAAGAGGAAGAACTTTAATGCTCAAAATGGTTTCTATTTTCCTTGGGAGATCTGAGAAGAATTTGCAGCTGGAGAGCAACCAGGGGACAGAGAGAATCACCACCTCTTCACTACAGATGGGGTAGCTTACTCAAGCTTCAGAATATATCATTAAGCTACTAATGTGCTTAAGCACATGCCAAATGGAACGTTCCTTAATTAAGTTATAAAGTAAGCAACTTGAGAGCAAAAATGTCTTTTGTTTTTTAGGTTTTGCCATAGGGCATGTGTGCTTACCAGAGAGACAGACAGAGAGAGAGAGAGAGTGAGAAATCACCCCGTGCCCTATGGGAGATGGCCATGCTGCAATCCCTTCTCCACTATTCTCCCGGGATTCCAGGCACACACATGCACACCCAGCAGGAGTCTCAAGGCACTGGGTCCAGGACTCAGACCGTGGTCAGCCATGTAGGGGACCAGCACTCCGACCACCATGCCACCTGCTGGCCCTGAAAACCTCATCTATCTTATTTATCAATATATTTCCAAGGCTCAGTACACAGCAGGAACTCAGTAAACTTCTGTTAGGTAAATAAATGAGTGAATGAATTCTCCCTTTCCTCTATGAGGTAATGAGTCTGCCTGTTCTTAAGTATATGGCAGTTATTGTTAGGGAGACATGAGAAGACATTTATGTATTAGAATATTCTTGCTTGTTTGGGGAAAAGCACAATGCTATACCTTTAGGCAAAACTCCCATTAATCGCAAACACCAATATTCATTTGGTTACCTGATGACAGACTATTTGTTGCTTTACTTATCCCAAAATTATCTTTCCCTTTGAAAGAAGAGGGGCGGAATGGAAAAATAATGATTTTTCAAAATAAATATCTCACTGCCTTTCAAATATTAATCCATTCAGGAAGATCTGAGCCCAAAATAAATATAATCCCAAGAATGTGTATTGGTAGCTAGAGGGAAATAACAGAAAAACAGTTTTAGTGATTGTTTAAAAAAATAATTGGAATAATAATAATGATGACTGGGAAAAATAATGAAAAGCTATTGGATAATGAAATGGGGATTTCAATGTCTCTGTTTTGACTGATATGAATGGTATTCCTTCTGGAAAAAGAAATGTAATACGCTGTAATGTTATATGTGATTCAATGTAATATAAACAAGATAATGATGGTAGTAAATAAAAAAATCAAAAAAAGAAAAAAGAAAAAAAGAAAAAAAGGAAAACTAAAACAACAAGTGTTGGCAAGAATGTGGAGAAATAGGAATGCTTATGCACTGTTGATGGTAATACATAAATGGTGCTGCCACTATGGGAAACAGTATGGCAGTTGCTAAAAATATTAAAAATAGAATTACCATATGAAAAAAAAATAAAGAAACACTCTTGGTCAGTATTAAAAAAACAAAAACGTTAGTTTCTTCCATTTTTCACTTTGGTAAACAAACTAGTTAACTCTGTCAACAGTTTGATGTGAAACATCAAATCAATTCCCCACTGACAGTGGCAACAGTGCTTGAAAGGGCACCGTTAGGATGGGAGCCACCAGAGAGCAAAAAGCAGAAGTAAAGCTAGGTAAATGTTTTGCTTTCTTCCATGGTATAACTTTCTGTATATAATTAACTGCCCTTTTCATTTTTACCAGTCTTCAATTCGTTTCAGTGTAATTTTTATCTTGTTTTTGATTGTCATCATCGGCTCACCTGATTTAGCAACAACCAACTAGTACAGAGATTTTTCAGGATTACACACAGAACACACGTGGAAAAGAATCTATAACTCATACTCAAGATCTGGGATGTTAATTGTACCTTTGAAGACAAATTTTTTTGCTGCTCTTCTTTATGCCACTTCTCTCACTTGGCAGTGTAGTTGGATGATATTCGCCAGTTCGTTTATAATATGCAATCTGTTTAAGATGAAGGTCACCATTTTTTCCACTACGGACCATTGTGAACCTAGGTAAAGGGTAATAAAATATGTAACTGGACTGATAAGCTATGTCAGTTGCTATTTCAATTCAGGCTCTGTCACATTTCTGCTTACACCGGAATTGAGCATTCCCAGAATATTATCTGTGAGGGAGATAATTACAGTACAGAAAGGAACACAGAGTGATGTATGCAAACTAAAATATTTGAATGCTATTTTTGAGATACATCATGACAAATTATCCTGTCTCTTTCCATGAGATAAGAAATGCTGAAAATTTTCCATATACTGACAAAACAGGAAACAAAGTAGTACTCTGCAAAAAGGTTTGCTTCAAGTTCTCTCATTGCTATCAATTGAAAGGTTGCTGACATAGGATAGTTCTGTTACAAGACATTTAAATAAATGTTACGTTATGAGGAGAGAAATAAAGTTTTATATTATTTCCAAATATGCAAGGTCTTCAAAAAATTAATGGAAAGGCATATTATAAAAATATTATGCAAAGATCTCAAAAAGATTTTTGTGCCAAAATAAGCTTGTACTTTAATTCCATTTTCCTCCAAATGTTTCGAAGTTCCATTGTACATATTCAGGATCATTACATACTACCAAAAAAAAAAAAATTCCCATTATTCAAATCATGTATTTAACAGCCATATCTCACACTCTTCTGAACTATTAATACCTGTAAATTGTTTTTTATTTATTTTAATTGCTGGAGGGCAAGGAGACAGAGATAAAGACCACTGGGAAAGAAAGCAACCTCCTATGATATTTGGTCATGCTGCAGTCCTTTCTTCTCCATTTTTCTATTCTGTTGGGACTGGGGCAAGCACAGGCACCTGGCATGTTTTCTAAGTGTTAGGCGCTGTGATTTGAACTGGGATCGGCCATGTGGGTCCAGCTCGCCTTAGCTACTAAGGTAAGGGATTGGCTCCAAAATTGCTTTTTCTTAAACAAGTAATTTTGGGCCCTGTGGATATTTTGTTAATGTTATAAATGAAAACCTGGGTATATTGGCAAAACAAAACAAAACTCTATTTTAGACTGTTAAATAATATGGGAAACAATTAAGAAGAAAAACAGCCCTTTTATTTTTGACAATAGTTGAAACCAACTATTACGTGCTGGTATTTTGTTTCCCATCATCCCCAACCACCCCGAATTATTTGTGACCTTTTTATCTAGTTATGTCCTAGGAGACTAAACTTTACAGATGAATTTATAGTTTTCTGGATGGAAATGTCTGATGGGAGGCACCAACAGGCAAATCAAAATTTCACAGGAGAAAATGGTCGGGATATTTATTTCCTGCCTCTTCCTGGAATTAGGGTGCAACCCAGCAACCCTGTCCATTTTCTGTTGGTAGTCTTCAGGTGCCGTGTTGGTTTCTTAGTCCATATTTCTAAGAATAGGAGTTTCAGTCCATTTTTTTTTTTTTAATTCCAACAGAGGGTATCTTTTGTTTCCTGCTAGGACTTCGACTGATACAAATGCTTATGATTTTGAAATTCTGAAAACAATACAGATGTTTATTGATTGCTAAAGCATTTAGGATGAGTCGATTACCTACGACCCCAGAGATGTGAAGGGTGGAATAAAGCAGAACAGACAGTGCTTGTAAATCGTGGCTCAAATAGCCAGTGAGCTCTTTCCCTATGATGTAGCCCTCTGCACACTCAATAACCCTCTTTCTGATCTACTTATAACCTCCAGAAAGAATAACTGTGTACTTCTAACATCCCTTAACCTTGGATTAGCATAAAGTACAAGCCACTTTAAAAGCAAAGATTCTGCAATGCTAACATAGTCTTATCATAACCTAAAAACTAGGTTAATTATCTCTATAAAGTATGATAAAACAATTAGTCTCATCCCAGTTTAATTCACTTTCAATTAAATATTAAGTATATAATTTTTTTTCATTTTATAGCAGATGGCTATAGTTCCAAATCAAACAAATATGGCTTATCATAGTTTTAAGACATTTTATAAATGAATGGATCAGATTTCAATACATAAGTAAGACTGTCGTACTGGCATAAGGATGGGCAAATAGGTCACTGGCATTGAACAGGGAATCCGGAATTAGGTCCACACAAAAGTCATAGTTTACAACAAATTCATCAACACAATGGGGGAAAGTGTTTTTTTTTTTTTTTTCAATAAATGATGCTGGAACAATTGGATAGCTATATAGGAAAAAATGAACTTTAACCTCCTACTTCACACTGTCCTCAAAAATTAATCCAGATAAATCATAAACGTAAACATAAAAGGTAAGTAACAAAGTTTCTGGAGGAAAACATAGGAAAATATCTTCAAAAACATGGAACAAATTGGGAACCAGCAGTTAGCGTAATGGCTATGTCTCTGGACTCCCACGTGGTCGACCGCGGTTCGTGTCCCGGACCCGGTGGCTTAAAACTCACGCCGGGCGCGTGTGCATGCGTGCCCAAGATCCCGAGAGGAGAATGGAGGAGAAGGGATTGCGGCATGACCATCCCCCCTGGGGGGTGATTTCTCGCTTTCTGTCTCTGTCTCTCTCTGTCTGTCTGGCGAGCGCACGCGCTCTACAGTGAAAATCTCTCCAAAAAAAAAAAACAAAAAACATGGGACAAATGAAGTTTCTATAGACGGAAAATATCCAACTCTGTAAAAATAATAATTAATACAGTTTATTTCTAAGCAGAATATGAGTGACCTAGGCCAGAGAGGAGGTAAAACATGCCTTTGTCTTGGAGTGATCTGGTACAGGGGTTTGTTTCATTTGATTTTGAGAGCAAGACAAGAGTTTGGAATTCAGTGACAAGGTTTTCATTGGTCTGGCCCCAAAAAACAAGACATGTGTGTGTGTGGGGGAGGCTTATAGGTTTTTAGGGTAGTGATTGGAAAAGGAAGGTTGCTGAGATCAGAAAGGAATGTACTAATGTACTTTTCTTTTTTAAAAATTATTTTACTTAACTTTATTTATTTTTTAATTTGACCAGAGAGGGACAGAGTGAGAGAAAAGAAAGAGAGAAAACAAGCTGCCAGGTCCAGGACTCAGACCATGGTTGGCCATGTGGGAGAACAGTGCCCTTAACCACCATGCCACCTGCAAGCCCCAGAAAAGAATGTACTTTTAACAGTGATCAAGAGGCTTATACATCACAAAGATACTCTAATACTATGCCAGGGGCAGGATGCAGAAAGAATCCTGTTACCAATGGGTCAAAATGGTCTGTTAACATTTGTGGACTGGACTTCCTCTGGGCCTCTGGAAAAGATTTTGGAAAAATAGGAAAAAGGAGTCAGACTTCTGTCCACTTTTTAAAAATTTTATTTTAAGAGAGATTTTTGCTATAGGGTGCATATAGTTGCTGGAGAGAGAGAGACAGAGACAGAAAGTGAGAAATTAGGCCCCCACCCCCCGGGGGCGGGGGTGGACATGCTACAATGCCTTCTCCTCCATTCTCCTCTTAGGATCTTGGGCATGCAGGCACATGCTTCAGGCTGAGTTTTAAGCTGCTGGGTCTAGGACTAAACCATGGCTGATTCCATGAAGTCCACTGACATCACCATCAAGCCATCTGCTGGTCCCACAAGTGAAGTTTCTTAAATAAATCACAAAAGACACTATCCATAAAAGAAAAAAAAATTATAATAACAAGTAAGATTTTAAAGGTACCATCAAATGAAAAAGTAAAGCATAGACAGGGAAAAGCTATCTTTAATACCTATGAGAGGACTTTAAAATTTTCAAGGAAAAAAAAGGAGTTTGTTTTGGTGCAAAAAAAATTTAAATCCATGCAGTTTTCTCATAGTATTTATACTTACTTTCCATAAACTTTTTGCAGATCTCTCATATTAATTTTTCATTTTTGCAATGTTTAACATAATATTTGGAAGAGTGGACACCCATTTGTGAATAAATAAATCACTTGTATTTCCTGACAAGAGACAAATCATTAACTTAAAAAACAGCAAACTTGGGACCAGCAGTTGGCGTAATGGCTATATCGCTGGACTCCCACGTAGTCGACCGTGGTTTGAGTCCAGACCCTGTGGCTTAAATCCATGCAGGGGGCGTGTGCACGTGCGTGCCCAAGATCCAGAGAGGAGAATGGAAGAGAAGGGACTGTGCCGTGGCCAACCCCCCTGGGGAGTGATTTCTCATTTCCTATCTCTGAATTTCTGGTGAGCGTACATGCACCTATAACAAAAACCTCTCCCCCAAAAAACAAAACCAGCAAACTTTCCTTATTTCACTTAGGAAAACATAACTTCTCCTGCACATATATGTGTCTCTAAAGAGGTATGGACTTCAAGAGTTAGAACTTCAGGCATGTGACACTTATCCAAATCTCAATATCTATGTTTGCAAAAAGAATGTAATATTTCTCCTTGCTTCTTACAATTATGAGAATCATAATAGATTTGAAAAGGCCTTTTCAAATGGTAAAGCAATGTATAATTAGTTACACTTAAATATTACCATCATCCATATCATGTTGTTTGAGTAACAGAATCCTTTACCCAAAATCTTCATTAACAAGGAGAAAGAATTTAAAATCTCTTTCCTTTCATTAACGGTGATTAACGTTTTATAGCAATGTTTATTTATGTTTTACTGCTAACAATAAAACCCAGAGGACTCAAGAGTCATATACTTTGAAGTGATTTTGTAGATTCATTTAGTTCACAAACTGTTGGTCGGAAAGTATAGAGACAGACAACAAGGGGAAATAAAAAATTTGTAAAAAGAGGGGTAGGAGGTGATGTGGTGGTTAAGGGCGCTGGACTCCCATATGGCCAACTGCGGGCGCTTCAAGTCCTGGACCTAGCGGCTTCCTTTTTTCCTCTTGCTTTTCCTCCCGGGTAAAAATAAAAAAAAAAAAAAAGTAAATAAAATATTTAAAAGAAAAATTTGTAAAAAGAAAAATCAGTTGACTAAAAGCATGACCTTTTAAGTAGAAGGTAAAAGTTCTGCAGTTAGTATTTGGTATTTATTTACAAAAATAATTAGTAGTTTTTTCTTTTTTTTTCCTTTTCAAAGCCCATTGACTACTTGTGTCCTAGAAATCATTTGTCTTAAATTAGTTAATGGAAGAAGTGCATTTAGGCTACAATATACAGGACGAACATAAATAAAATATATTCTTTCTCACCCAAATTACTTTTTTTTTCAAATAAACTCACTTTTTTAATTAATTCTTTTATTTATTCATTTGTTTATTTTAACTTGATCAGAGAGAGATGAGAGAGAGAGAGAGAGAGAGAGAGAGGGAGAAAACAAGCCTCCAGCTTCAGGACTCAAACCATGGTCAGCCATGTGGGAGTGTCTAGCACCTTAACCACCACACCACCTGCTGATCCTTCTCACCCAAATTATTAAACAATGGTAAAGGAGAATTGGCTTGAATTATATATGTGAAATTTACTTTAGGCCTTCCTTGGATGTGCTCATATTTCCAAAAATTTCTGTCAACTACTTATGTATTTAAATATGTAGAAATAAGAAAAAGTAATGAAATGACTGATTATAACTCTAGTTTTGCAAGAGGAATGTGAGGGTCATGTTTGCTGAGCTTTTTACATTATGTTCCTTGTAAATAAAATGACAAGTACCTGTGTAAATACTTATTGCTTAATTCCTTTGATAACTGTATTGTGTGTTCAATGAAGGCAGTTACATATCACTTTAATTAAAATTAGGATTTAGGGGCCAACAGGGGCATGGTGGTTAAGGCGCTGGACTCCCCGTGGTGGTATATGGTTCAACTCCTATACCTGGTCGTGTGCTTTCTAATTTCCCCCCTCCCTGTCTCTCTCTCTCGTCAAATTAAAAAGTAATGATAATAAATAAAATTAAGCAAATAATTCTTTAAGTTAAGGTGCTGGACTCCCACGTGATGGAACACAGTTCAAGTCTGGACCTAGTGGCTTGCTTTCTCAGATCTCCCTCTCTAGTGAATCAAAAACAGTGACAATAAATAAAATTAAAAAAAAAAAACACGTAACTTGGGATGGGAATTCTGACTTTTCAATTAATCTATTTTAAGTGAAAAACTGACCAAGTGCAATTCTACAATATATACCATCAGATTTGGAACTTAAATACACTGGACACTTGTCTAAAATTTGCTTCACTTTAGCGTGCAAATTCATTTAACAAAAACTGCCTTTATTTTCATACGCATAAATATGAGATAAATAATTTTGTATTTTGAAAAAAATCTCTATTTTGGTTCAGATATATCCGCTTAAGGAAAATCCACACTTGAGTAGGGTGGCCTTTTCCTTTAAAACTATGGGTCCCCATTCCCTTTTGAACTCGCTTTTCGTCCGGCCACAAGAATTTGGGGCAAAATTTCATTTTAAATGACAACTATGAAAAAGCAGCGGGAGAAAATTCTTCAGCGCCAGAAAATACCACACTCCACTGTTGAACTGGTTCAAGGGCTCAAGTCCTGGACCCTACTTCAACGGTGAGGGAGCATCTCCTAAGCCCTTCCACGGCTCCTTAACTGGTTCTCGGGTACAAGGCCCCGCTAAGGTTAGCATGAGCAGCAAAGATAAAACTCGATTTCCGAGAGTCGAGGACTCCCCGGGCCCGACAGCAGCACTCGCTCCGTCCCACCCAGTTCCCGCGGGACGTCGCAACGCCCAAGGCCCTCCCGCCCGAAGGGCGCCTGCGCAAAGTCACCACAGACGCTAGCCTTGCATTATGCCAGTAGGAAAGAATGATTTAGAAATTATTGACAAGTTACGCCTTACTTTAAAAAACAGTAGGTATGACAAAGCACACCAGAACGACCACTCACCGAGGTGGTCCTAAATGCAAGCGACAGGATTTAAGCTTCCTCTCGCGACTTATCCGGTGCCGCCGGAAGCGGAACTACCCGGGTCGTTAAACGGCGAGTCCTTCCAGCGGGCCGTGGAACCTCGGCCAGGAAAGGTTAGGGCGGATCGTTTGGATCCTGCCGGAAATCGTTCCGCCCGGTGAGGTTTCTGTGTGAGACCCGAGGCTAGTGAAGAGGCGTGACCGAGATCCGTGAGGTGCGGTGGTACTCGGGGTATCCCTTTGTGGCCCTTGAGCTGCGGCTAAAGGGAGAAGACCACGTCCACACCTACAGCTGGAATCACTTGACAAACGCCTCGCCACTGCCTCTGGAATTAAAGAGGGAACCGAGACCTGAATGGGCTCGGCCGTCTCCAAAAGCTCGCGTGGCCACCGCGGCCGTGGCAGGTGAGGCCCCGAGGCCGGAGGAGAACGGCACCTGCGGAACCCGATCGCCTGAGGGTTGCGGCGGCGCCTGGGCCTTCGCTTCGATCCAGCTGTGCTCTCGGACCCTGGACGCGCGCTCCTCTGGGAGCATGTGCGGAGCAAAGGACACCGTGGGCGTGGAGGCGTGACAGTACAACCTCGAGGGCCCTGTCTCGGTTTGACTTCTCACCCCGGACTGCTTCCCCTTTTCCTTGTTTGGGCTGGAGACGCCAGAACTTGCAGCTCAGCCAGAAGGGAGTCGCTTCTGCCGTGAGCCGCGCATCTCCCTCCACCGAAGTAGGTAGCCTCGAGTTTGGGGATGGCTTTCGGTAATGATGTCTCCTTTTATTCCTTAGCCTTTATTCCTCCACACCCACTTCACGAGAACAAAAGCCTGTGCGTTGCAGCTTTTAACAGTAGGGACGGAGGTTTGGAGGGTGCAGCATCCTTGGGCGCCTTGAGGGAGAAGGAGCGGAGATGACCAGCGGCTCCCATTCACGAGATGGTCGGCCTCGTCGTGGGAGTTGGCGACTTCGGAGTCCCGTGGGTGGTCGTGCGTAGCCTGCTTTCGCGTGCTGGAAGGCTTGGCTGTACAAGTAGGACATATGGCTGACTTGAGCAGCTTGCATCCCCTCTCTATACTTGGGTAGGGCCTGAGGGTTGCTGCGGCGCCTGGGCCTTTGCTTCGATCCAGCTGTGCTCTCGGACCCTGGACGCGCGCTCCTCTGGGAGCATGTGCGGAGCAAAGGACACCGTGGGCGTGGAGGCGTGACAGTACAACCTCGAGGGCCCTGTCTCGGTTTGACTTCTCACCCCGGACTGCTTCCCCTTTTCCTTGTTTGGGCTGGAGACGCCAGAACTTGCAGCTCAGCCAGAAGGGAGTCGCTTCTGCCGTGAGCCGCGCATCTCCCTCCACCGAAGTAGGTAGCCTCGAGTTTGGGGATGGCTTTCGGTAATGATGTCTCCTTTTATTCCTTAGCCTTTATTCCTCCACACCCACTTCACGAGAACAAAAGCCTGTGCGTTGCAGCTTTTAACAGTAGGGACGGAGGTTTGGAGGGTGCAGCATCCTTGGGCGCCTTGAGGGAGAAGGAGCGGAGATGACCAGCGGCTCCCATTCACGAGATGGTCGGCCTCGTCGTGGGAGTTGGCGACTTCGGAGTCCCGTGGGTGGTCGTGCGTAGCCTGCTTTCGCGTGCTGGAAGGCTTGGCTGTACAAGTAGGACATATGGCTGACTTGAGCAGCTTGCATCCCCTCTCTATACTTGGGTAGGATTTTGGTTTGCTATTAGAGTCTTAAATAAAATATATCGTTTTTATCTCAGGTAGATGAAATAAGGATCATTGCCATTTACTGAGTCCTTACGTGTGCCGAGGCTTTATCTAAATGGTTTCATATTAACTGCCCTCAACAATCCCAGGTGATACATTAGATTATCCTCGTTTCACGGAAGTAGTGAGGCTTAGAAAAGTCAGATAACTCGACGTAGTAAACTTTGGTACAAGAAAACATTTGATCTCTGTTAAGAAAGGAGTCTGACTCCACAGACTGTGTTGTGCTATTGTCTTATTGTTCTTCCTGGATTCTAATTTCTTCACCCACATTTTCAGTGACGGAAGGCATTTATTCAGAAAGTTTTGGTGTGCTTATCTAGCTGTCTGACAAAATACAGATATGACCTCTGTCTTTGTTGTGTATCAGTATTGTAATGCAGAATTAAGCACTTTAGAACCCCTCAAAATATACTATCCAACACAGGCTTATTTAAAGGAAGCAATTACACCTATGCGCAAGAGATGCAGACTTGTACAGTCAAAGATTGCAGTTTAAATTTTAAACCCAACGACTTGCAGAATATTCATTATCAGGGTATGAAATAATAATCAGAATATTTATTGATGGTAAATAAGTGTTAGGCACCAAATTAAGTACTGGAAATACATGGATGAAGTTCTTGTTCTCCAAAAGTTAACATGCAGCTACTTACAGATAATGTTAGGGAATTCTTAGGTGGAAATGGTGTTGTGGTTGTGTGGATGTAATTGTGTACTTAGGAGATACATAGTAAAGTATCTGGAAAAGAAGTGTGTTAATATCCACTACTTGCTTTTAAATAATGCAATATGTGTGTGTGTGTGTGTGTGTGTGTGTGTGTGTGTGTGTGTGTGTGTGTGTGTGTGTGTGTGTGTGTGTGTGTGTGTGTGTGTGTGTGTGTGTGTGTGTGTGTATAGAGAGAAAGTAAATAGGGCACAATGTTGGCAATTTTTGAATCTAATAGGGTGTGCAGATATATTGTTTAATGAACTGTTCTTTCAGCTTTTAGGAATACTTGAACATTTGCAAAGTAAAAGTTGCGCAAGAAGAAAACCTAACCATTGGAGACAGAAAACTGTAAAGATAGATTTAAAATGCTGTGTCTTGGAGGGTGGGCGAGGTTTTGGTGTGTATTTGGGATTTGGCTGAAGTGTGCTGGTTAAGGAAGCGTTTGCTGATGACCTTCAATTTGATCACTGAAAGGGGAGTAGAAGCTTCCAAAGAGCAGTGAATTCCAGGCAGAAGAAAATGCGGGCTCAGCAGAAAGGTATTGCATGAATGTTTGAAGAGAGGAAAAAAATCAACGTGAAGGTTGTGTGGAACTTGGAATGGGCTTTTATTGTGTAAATAATCTTATAAATGATGCTATGTTGCCTTTGCCAGCCTGGTGAAGTCTATTTATTAATAGTATCCTATTCGCTGTACTATTAGTGTCCTGGAAGTGAGCCACTGTTTATAATAATGTTTCCACTGGAAAATGCTATTGGGATTCCAGGAAAGCTAGATCTGTGTGGTCAGGCTGAGGAACAGGAGTTGGAGCTCCTATTTCCTTTGACTTGTGGAGTATGGATTTTCTATTCCTTGGGACCCTGTAGGAACCAGGAAAGGGCTGTAAGGAGGGCTTGGAAAGAAAGTTTAGTGCAGGTAAAGGAGGGTTCTAAGTACTGTGTGGGGCAGATGGGTAATCCAAGGTGTTATTTTGAGGACTAGGTAACTCTGACCAGGAGAAGTAAAAGAATGAGAAAAAAGACGACTTACCCAGGCAGTTGAGTTCATGATGGTCTCAAACAAGGATACTGAGTCTGGAGAAGTTCTAATGAAGTCTCCAGTAACTGCAGCAACAGAGAAGTTTCTTTTTTTAAAAAAAGAATTATTTTATTTAACTTTTATGTATTTATTTTAATTTGACTGGAGAGAGACAGATTGATAGACAAAGTGAGAAAGCAAGCCACCCGATTGAACTCAAACCATAGTCAGCCAACATGGGAGTCCAGCGCCTTTAACCACCACGCCACATGCGACCTGGTGGCAGAGAAGTTTCTCTGTCTTCATAGAATGAGAATACTATATAGGGGGCATCCAAATTGAGTTATTTATATTTGGTTCTTGTCAATTACATTTAGGTCAGAAATCTACCTTAATTATAACAGCAGTTAACAAAATATGTAAACAGCTACATTTACTGAATGCTTAACATATGGTAGTTTGTATGGTATATTCATCCTCATTTAATCTTCAGAACACCATAAGAGATTTATTACCCTATTTATACATGATGGCTAGAGAAGTTCAATAACTTGGTTCAGGACCGAGAGCTAAGCAACTTTCAGAAACTTTTCAAAGCCAGTTTAATTGGGGTCTAGAGCAGTCGTCCTCAAATGTGATTTGAGGAGAAGCAGCACCAGTACCGCTTTGATACTTTAATTATAGGAAGGCTAGTATTGGCCCCCATCACCAGACTTTGTAGTTTTTTTGTTTTGGTTTTTTTAACAAGACCTGTAGGTAATTCTGATGTAAACTGAAATTTGAGTGTGGAGACTTTGGGTAGCATGGTACTAAATGTTGGGCTATAAGTACATTTATGATATTATCTTATATTTAATCCTTACATGAAACAATGAAATAAAAACAAAATGCAGATGGGGAAATTGAGGCCCTGAGAGGATAACTTCCTTACTCAAGGTCACACAGCTATTCGAGTCAAGATTCAAAAGGGATTTCGGATTCTGAGTCTATTCTTTTGAACACTAACTTCTTCAGCCCTTTTCTAAATCTATAAATATCTCATGTATTAAAATGGAATAGTAGTAAAAAAGAAAGCTTTCTGAGATGGTGGGTGGCATGGTGCTTAGAAGTGCTGAACTTCTACTTGGCCAACTGCGGTTCGAGTCCCATACCTGATGGCTTGCTTTCTCACTTTCCATGTCTCTCTCTCTCTCACTCTGTACCTCTCTGGTCAAATTAAAAATAAATAAGTTGGTAAATAAATTTTAAATAAAGTAATTCTAAAAAGAAAGAAAGCCTTTTTTGACCTTATATCCTAAGACCCAATTTCCCTGCCCATCTTTTTTTTTTTTGCTTTTTTGGAGAGGTTTTTGCTATAGGGCACATGCGCTCGCCAGACAGAGAGAGACAGAGAGACAGAAAGCAAGAAATCACCCTCCAGAGGGGGATGGCCATGCTGCAGTCCCTTCTCCTCCATTCTCCTCTCGGGATCTTGGGCATGCACGCACACGCGCCCCGCATGAGTTTAAGCCACTGGGTCTGGGATTCGAACCGTGGTCCACTACATGGGAGTCCAGCGACATAGCCATTACGCTAACTGCTGGTCCCTCCTCCGTCCGTCTTTATAATAAAGCCCTTCAAAAGAATTATCTGTAAACCTGACTCTCCTTCCTCTCTGCTCAATTCAATCACATTTAATGAAATTAAACATTTTTATCATGACACTCTATATAAAAGCATACATATATACACACACACACACACACACACACACACACATATATACACACACGCACACACAATTGAACTAAAATTAGATTTTTACGGATATGACATTTGGAGTTATGCTGAATTTCGTCTAGCATATTGTTCAACTTTTTTTTTTTAAGAGTTTTTTTCCTAGGATGCATGCACTCACCAGAGAGAGACAGAGATAGTGAGAGGGAAAGTGAGAAATCATGCCCGAGGGGAGATGGCCATGCCTCAGTGTGATTTTCAAGTCACTGGGTCAGTGACTCAAACCATGCTTGGCATGTGGGAGTCTAGCAATGTGACCACTATGCTATCTGCTGTCTCTTTTCAACCCTTCCTTAGAATATTTGCTCAAGAAATTTATTTTTTTTTTAATTTGCTAGAGGACATGTGCCCTCACCAGAAAGAGACAGAGACAGAAAAAGGGAGAGGGAGAAAGCACTTCCCAGTGGAGTATGGTAACATTGCTATCCCTTCTCCATTCTGTTGGGATTTTGGTACCCATGGACACGTGCCTGGAGTTTTTTTTCAAGCCACTGGGACTAGGATTCAGAACTATTCAGTCAGCCGCCTGACTCCCTTAACCAAGGGGCCTTAGAGCTGACTCAGAGTCAAGTAATTTCTTTTATTACCAGTAATCAAATGAAGCACTTGATATTTTGTTTCATCTTGGAATTAATTTTTTAGATAATTAACTTTAATATGACAAGGAATAAGTACATGTAAACAATTTTGATAAGGAATAATTTGAGATTATTTTATTGTTATATGATAGTTCTTTAAATGATGTTTATGAATGATTAATTATGTGAAATAATTTTAATGTCAGTGAACCACATAAAATTGATTTCAGAGTATAATGTTTATTGAAGTTTCTCCTGGGGAAAAAATCTGTAGATTTTACTAGGTTTGCTAAAGAGATTTTTATTTCCACAAGCGTAAGAGGTACTGTTAAATAATCTTCATTATTACTGATTTATGTATCAAACCAGAATGCAAAATAGTTATCGTCCTTAAAAACTTGTTTATAGACTGGACTTTCACAAGTTGGTATAATTTCAGATTAATGTTTAATTGTCAGAGGTTTTTAAACTCTTATTTTTTCTTTTCCTAAACCAAGATCTGAGGGATTTCTCTTCTAATGTAATTTTATTATAATTTGAATGATATTCTAATTTAGATATTTTTGTACTTGATTTAGTGTATAGTCTTTTTATTGTATATTGATTTGTGAAATTTTAAAATATATATTACTGATGATCAGGGTCTTAATTTTTTAATTTTAAGGAAGGATATGTCTTTTCACTTTGGTACACATCAGTTTATTGATGGTAATTTTGTAAGTGCCCTTTAGAATTATTTTTACATGAATATTTTTTGAAGTACATGCTCCATACTAATTTTTTCATCTCCTTTTAGGTAAAAAATTGCTGCGTCAACTCAGGAAAACAATACTGTTACTATCTCTGCATTTTAAACTGTAGCAACAACTTTGATATCAACAATAAGCATTGACATCTGAGAACAAAAGAACATTTGCCAATGAACTGTCATCACAATTTCAAGTGATTGTATAAGCAGAAATAAACTGCAGCAAATCTATGCGTCAGCTACTATAGGGTGGATACTTTCTTCCGATGCTGTTCATTTAGAAGCAATTTTAATACACATCATTTAAATCATACCTATATCAAATGAAATAAAATGAGTGAAGCCCCTAGATTTTTTGTTGGGCCTGAAGATACAGAAATAAATCCTGGAAATTATCGGCATTTCTTCCATCATGCAGATGAAGAGGATGATGAAGAGGATGAGTCAGTAAGTTGTTAGTTTCTTTGGTGAGAAAAGACCAATATAATATAAACTTTTTACTAATCATCATTAATGTTAATTAGTACTGTAATCTTAAAACTTTTCATTTACAGATTTGTTGGAAATATTTTAAACTAAAAAAATGTATTTCGTGTCATGAATGGTGTTACTGAATCTCTAGTGAATTAAGAAATAATTGGAGTTCAGACATCTAAGTTGTTTAATAATGTGCCTGTTTTCATTTTTTTCAGTGATATGCATAGTGCAACTTGAGTGGGTAAAAAAAGTGGCAAGGAGAGACAGCTATTTTGGCCATGAATCAAAAGAATTTCTTAACTATAGAAGTAGTTGGTAAATACATCAAGATAAACAAGTAGAAGGAATTAATTTTTAAGGTATTAAGGAAGGAAGACTACTTAAATAGATTAGGTTTATCTTGTCAGTGCATGTGCTGGTTTACATGAAAATATCCCTATACATTAACTATTTAAAAATCTGAAGACCAAGTGACTGGGAGAGGCTATGTCAAGTATCTGTGTGTATGTTCTTTTGTTTTTCTGATGTATTAGAATGTTATATACATGCTGAATCTTAGGTATAACACAGTTATTATATTCACTTTGCTACATTAGCCCAAGACTTTTATAGTCATCATTGATTTTTTTTTTTTTACAAGTAGAGATTGCTTAGCTGTATTTATTTATTTATTTTTAATTTGACCAGAGAGGAACAGAGTGAGAGAGAGAGAGAGAGAGAAAGTGAGAAAACAAGTCACCAGGTCTGGGACTTGAACCAAGGTCGACCATGTAGGGGTCTGGTGCCTTTAACCACCATGCCACCTTCCAGCTCTGGGAACTGTTTTAAAATACAGACTTAGACACATGTTTTTGTTATACAGTTGACTCTTGAGCAACAGGTTTGAACTGTGTGGGTTCACTTACATGTGTATTTTTTTTTATTAATATATTGGAATTTTTTAAGGGATTGTGGCAATATAGACAAATGATTAACTTATTTTTCACATTATCTTTAGTATTTGATGTCTAATGTAAATGAAATGAAAAACATCTATTGTGTTTTATATCATAAGGGGCTCAAAAAGTTTGTGGAAAAATGAAATTGAAGTACAAATTTATTTTGGTATAAAATGTTTTTAAATACATGGAATTTTTTTATAATACACATTTTTATGAACTTTTAGGATACTGCTTATATAAGGCAATATTGATGTAGTTACAGATGTGGTTTATCCTATAAACAGACAATGTAAACTTAATGGTATCTGTAAAACAGTATATATAGTAATGTAAATGTATTTTCCCCTCATTAAGATTTTTTTTTTTTGAGAGTTTTTTGCTATAGGACGTGCGAGCTTGCCAGAAAGACAGAGACAGAGACACAGAAAGCGAGAAATCACCCCCCCAGAGGGGATAGCCATGCAATTCCTTCTCCTCCATTCTCCTCTCGGGATCTTGGGCACATACATGCACGCCTGGTATGAGTTTAAGCCACCAGGTCTGGGACTCGAACTGCGGTTGACTACGTGGGAGTCCAGTGACATAGCCATTATACCAACTGCTGGTCCCCCATGTTAAGATTTTTTTTATTATTTTATTTTCTCCAGCTTATTGTGAGTTTATTTATAATGTGTAATAAACATACATAACCGTTCATGTTATCTGTAGGCTGCTGGTCCCAATAGGCTATTAGTAGTTAAGCTTTGGATGAGTCAAATGTCCTATGTGGATTTTGACTGTGTGGTGGGTCCATACCCCCAACCTTGGTGTTCAAGGATCACCTAACTGTATTATGACTTGGAAAGAGAATTTTGTTTTAAAATAAAAACTGTCCTAGAAATTTCATTGAAAATCGTGAAGCAATGAATCAGTTTGTAAACCCATTCAGCATTTTTTATTCTAATTAATTAATTTTAAAAGAAAGAAAAAAGAAACCTGTGGTACTTGGTAAAAGTAGTAAAAACAAAAAATGGCTATTAGGTGACTTTTTAAACCCTTTCATAATAACATCTTTTACAGTGGAGTTACTCGTTATCTGAATACAAATTGAACTAACTTAAAACTTCAGTGTAGAACACTTCCCCACCCTCCATCTCTGAGAAAATAATAGTTTTCTAGCTTCTCTTGCTAGCAGAACTTTTCTTCATCTGAAGTCTTACCTAGAAGTCCTGTGAGTAAATGTAAAAGCTGAGCTCTCGCTCACTTGGACTAGAGCACACTGTTGGCTCAGCCTTTACTGTCCTTCCCTGTTTTCTATGGCGTCCGTCTGAACTCCATTGACTGATCTATCCAGTCTTCATACATTTCTAAGGCCTTTTCTCTTCCATCTATATCTACTGCCAGAATGTCTCCCACACTTTTAATTTCTGTGTATTTACTTCATCTTGTACCATGCCTTTTTGCTGTTGTGAGTATACTTCTTCGTGTTTCTGAAATGCCCTTGTTTTGGTTCCCTTGTGAATGATTACTCATTCTTTAAAACTGCTCAGATTTCACGTCTTTGACTTTTCCTACTCTCCTTGCTCTTCCCCGTGATAAATTTGAACATAGCTTCCACATACTGTTTCTATGCAGTATAACCTGTTTCTGGTATCACAATGTACCGTGTTATTACCGTGTTCCCTAGACTCAAAGTACTTTGGGGACAGGTACTGTTCATCTCTCTAATCTTCTACACTTAGTTCTTGGTATGTTGATGCTACCTATACTAAACTTGCATTCATGATGCATTGTTAGCAGTTCTGAGGAGCTTGATATGGCTTATTTGACCTGTAACACTGTAAATCGATTTATTCCAGATCGCTCTCCTGTTTTCAAAGGTGTGAATTTCAGGTTTTTTAGATATTAAATTTAACTAAATAACTCAGATTTATTTTAAAAAATACTTTCATACTTCTGAAATTTTTACCAAATAGGAAAATTCTGTCATTTTGTCTTAAGAATGCAGGTTCAGGTACACATTTTAAATTTTAGTGCTTCCCATTCATCTTAGCCAATGACCAGATATTCTTTAAATAGATCTATTATAAGTAAATATAACTTATGTATTTGCATTTTTAAAACTATAAAACAATGTGAAATACTAGGTTGAGTACTTTTTGTTGGCTGGGGAAATCTACTTTAAGAAATGTTGTAATGCGGGACCAGCAGTTAGCGTAATGGCTATGTTGCTGGACTCCCACATAGTCGACTGCGGTTCAAGTCCCGGACCTGGCGGCTTAAACTCACGCCAGGCGCGTGTGCGTGCATGCCCAAGATCCCGAGAGGAGAATGTAGGAGAAGGGATTGCGGCGTGACCATCCCCCCTGGGGGGTGATTTCTTGCTTTCTGTCTCTCTGTCTTTGTCTGGTGAGTGCACGCGCCCTATAGCAAAAACCTCTCCAAAAAAAAACAAACAAAAAAAGAAATGTTATAATTTAAGGCTTTTGATCAGAAGAAATGAATAAGGGATCATAAAAACAGATGTCAGAATGGGGAAGACAGTAGATCTCAAGAAGGTTAGAATTTATCATCTATTTGATTTCAGGTCTAAAATCCAATACTGAACATTTAATTTTATAAATTTTGAAGAGCTAGTGGGGAAGTATAGTTCCGGGATGAAAAAGAACTATTAATACATGATTCTTAAGTTATCCTATTTTATTTTTAGATTTTGGTAAGAAAGTCTAGTAAACCACTTTTGAGTCCAGATTATAACATCATATGATGTATATAAAATATCATGGAGAGGAGAGGTGAATTGAAATGAAAAGCTGGATAGGGGCCAGCAGGTGGTGTGGTAGTTAAAGGCACTGGACAGACTTTTGTTTTGTTTCGTTTTGTTTTAGTTTTTGCTATAGGATATGTGTGCTTACCAGAGAGACAAAGATAGAGAGGCAAAGTGAGAAATTATCCCCTTATGGGGGATGGCCACTCTGCAGTCCCTTCTCTAGTTTCCTCTTGGGAATTTGGGCATGTATACACACGAGTCATTGTGATTTTCAAGCCACTGGGTCCAGGACTCAAACAACATAGCAGGCCACGTGAGATCTAGCACCTTAACCTCCCTCCCACCTACTGGCCTCATGTAACTGTTACTATAGTATATTGTTGTAAGTATTGTTAAACTCCCACCGTACCTAATTCATAAATTAAACTTTATCATAGGTATGTATGGATAGTGAAAACCAGTATGTGTAAGGTTTGGTGCTATCTGCAGTTTTAGGCATCCACTGGGGGGCTTGGAACACGTCCCCATGGGTAAGGGGGGGACAACTGTATTCAAGTTCAGTCTACAATATAGTTCAATACTGAATAGTTTTATACTAGGAACTGCATCTTATTTTAGGCAAGAAACTTAATGTCATGGGCCTGTTTACCCGGATTAGATGAGTTTCGGCCTTTCCTTGCCCTTTTCTGGTCTGAAGAAGGTAAATAAATGCTAGAGACAAAGGAATATTTGCTTAAGTTTTAAATTTTGATTGGAAATAATTAACAGTATCCTGAAAGTGTTTTTGTTTTTAAAGGTTTTTCCAGATATTTGTAAAAATATTTTACTTACTCAGTGTCTATTATAACAATGATTTAATTTTTAAAAATGCCATTGTTGCTTAATGTATTAGTTTTATTGATTCATTACTTGCTTCATCTACTTCTGATAATCAAGATAACTGTAGTTTGGAGCTAATGTAAATCAACCTGATTTTTTGTTTCATTTCTGTTTTAGCCACCGGAAAGGCAAATTGTGGTTGGAATATGTTCCATGGCAAAGAAATCCAAATCCAAACCAATGAAGGAAATTCTAGAACGGATCTCCTTATTTAAATATATCACAGTAGTAGTATTTGAAGAGGAAGTTATTTTGAATGAACCAGTAGAAAACTGGCCTTTATGTGATTGTCTTATTTCTTTCCATTCTAAAGGTATTAACAAAGTGGAGAGCGGAATCCCTTTCTCCTCTTCTATTATGAAGCTAATACTAATTGTAGAATATTGAATAAAACAGAAAATTAAAATGAAACTAACACATTCCACAGATAGGGCATGTTAACTTTTTGATATCATTTTTCTAGGCGTCTGTGTTCTTGCTTTTTGTGTGTGTGTCATAGTTTATATGTAATTGTTTATACTTAATATAGTTGTAGTATTATTTGAGATTATTTTTCCCCTCCATTTTTTAAAATAATCTGATTTTGACTAGCTATTCGGATATGTAATAATATATTTAACTAATATCCTAATGTTGGAATGGTTTCCAGTTTCCATTGTTAAAAGTGAGGTTGTGATGAACTTTTTGAGTGTATATCTTTGTTTGCATCTCTAAGTTTCTTAAGATAAATTGTTGAGTTCTTGAATATTTTAAGCCCTTATGTTTTTGTCATATAGAAAATGATCTGTCACTGCTCATATATGTTAACACCTCAGTTCTTAAAAACTTACTATTTGAGATTTTAGATATTATTTGCTATCTTTAATTAATCAAATTAAAGTGTCAGTTAAATATTACTTCACAGTAAAGTCTACTAATCGGAATTTTTGCTAAGGTGTATCTGAAAATATGTAACATAAGAATCTGTGATTTAATGAATTTTCCAGTAAGAATTATAATTTAAAAGATGTGCTCTCAATTTTAAATCTATCACTTATTTAATCATCACTTATTACCAAAATATGCGTAGTCACACGTTGTGTTTAAATCTTTTCAGCAGTAAGAAAATTGGGCATGATTGAGACTTTTTGTGCTCCCATAGCCAAAATTGGTTTTCATTATTTCATAGAGAAGTCAAGACCCTGATCTTTGCAGACTGAAGCCTCTCATTTCAGAGAACTTTAAAATTTGTTTATCCTTGAAAGTAAGGTATTCTTCCCTTACCATCACATGGTTATTCCTATAAAAGCTTTTTGCTTGTAAAACATTGGTGCTATATCTAAGATCATACCTGATGAACCATCTCTTGGTAAGGAAAAAGTTCTTCAATAACAAAAAAAGCAGAATAGATGTTTTTCCTCTCTCTCTCTTTTTTAATTATTTAGGAGGCTTCAGATAATAGTGAGATCTTTATAAGTGATGAAATCTGAGAGTCTTTTAATAACTTGAAGGATTTGTAATTTGTGTAAGTGATTTGGAGTATAAAGTATCTCTATCTCTATTTTAAATTTTAAAAATGAAGAGAAATTTAAATCAGTTAAATGTTTAACTAACCATAGCATTTTGTTTTGTCTTGTTTAGTTTAGAGATTTTTGTTATACGGTGAGTGAGCTCACTGGAGAGACAGACAGACAGAATGTGAGAAATCACCCCCACCGGGGAATGGCCATATTGCAGTCCCTTCTCCATTCTCTTTTCGGGATTTTGGGCATGCATGAATACGCACCTGGCATGATTTCGATCTAGGCCTGGAGCCATGGTCGGCCACATGGGAGTCCAGCACCTTAAGTGCTATTTCACCTGCTGCCTTTTTATTTTTATTTTTTTTTAAATTTCAGTATGCTTTAGTACTTCCTTTCCTAACTATTCTGTTAATGCTGCAAACTATAGTGTCTTTGGAAGTACATTTAGTACTCTGTAGTTATATCTAAAGTTACACATGCTTGCTAATTTTTACCTTTTTCTATAGACAATATTCATTAAAATTTTGTCATTTAATGAATAATAGATAACATTTATTGAGCGTTTACTATGCTGTGCTAAGTGCATTATATAAGGTTTTAGTTCTTCAAAAAGCTTAGTAGGTAAGACTTCTATAATACTCATTTACAGCTGAGCAGAGACTTAGAGATGTTAAATAAATTTGCCCAAGATTACATAGCCAGTGAAAGATGGCAGCAGAATTTGAACACTGGTTTATACTCTTATCTGTCAAAGTATATTACCTCTCTTAATGATATTGTAATGGGGGCCGGCAGGTAGCATGCTGGTTAAAGGTGCTGGACTCCCACATAGCCGAATACCTGAAAGCTTGCTTTCTCACTTTCCCTCTGTCTCTCTTCCTTGCTCTGCTCCTCTCTGGTCAAATTAAAAAATAAGAAAGTAAATAAATTTAAATAAAATAAGTCTTAAAAAAATAATATTGTCATATATTGGTTGGTTGGTTTGTTTTAAGGTCTCTTTTTACCCTAGTGCTATTTGATTATTTATTTTCATTGTAACTAGTACTTCTACCAAGTTTTGAGAGCCAGTTCTTGCTAGTTTAGCATTGACCTGGCAGCAGCATGATTCTAGTAGTATATTGTATATTTTCGGGATAGCTTTTTCTGTGTGAGTTAATTTTTGTTTTTGCAGCTCTTTTTAAAGGAACACAAGTTTTTTAAATATCAGCTATTTTATATGTATAGGCATCAAAATAGCTAGATGAGAAGAAGAGTCGTATGTATTTTTAAAAATTACTAGGTGATTTATGATACTTACGTTATTTGTATGTAGATTTTTCTTTGTATATGAAGTAATCTTGATCAGGTGACTGACTAGTACATCAGTGCTCTTAAGTATGGCTGTATAATTACTGGCTTGCTGTGCCTTATCAATCAGATTAACTAGATAATACACAATTTAATAGCATAAGGTTAAATCAAGGTTAATTGATATACCTTTTATAGAAGGAGGTTATGTGCATAATGAAGTTTTTTTTCATGAGGTGGCATCAGTTCAGGTCGATAAAGCTATAGATGTCAACTATCTTAAGATTGTATAGAATATGTTAATAATATGTGTTCTTAGGATTTCCACTGGACAAAGCAGTTGCCTATGCAAAACTCAGGAATCCATTTGTAATCAATGACTTGAATATGCAGTATCTCATACAAGATAGGTGAGTGGTGAAGTTGGCTGAATTAAGGGAAGGAAAATTAGCATTTATTTAGTGACTGCTATACACTAGCTTGGCAACCGATGTTTTCCCATACATCAGTTTATTGTATCTTCAAAATAGCACTCCAAAATAAATATTTATTATCTATTTTATAGATGAGGACATTTTAGAATCAGGAAGTCATTAACTTGCCCCAAGACACAAGTAGTTCCCCAAGCAATGGGACAAAGACTTCAACCAGATTTGTGTATTTCCAGAGCCTACTAAATCACTGAAAATTATAAACAGTTTTTCTGCCATGTGGCTGATGATTAAATTTGGACTTAACTCATTATAATTGGATTTTTTTTTTTTAGTGATAGAGTATACTCATATTGAAAAATATTTTGCTATAGTCATCCTTCATTTAACAGACCAAATCACAGATTTCTTAAATTATATGTTAATGTATTTTTTTTATCTAATTGATGTTTCAGTCTAGTAGTTTCTCTAATAACTTTATCAGCATTTTGTTTTCTTTTGTGTTACCATTACAATGTAAGATTATATATATGAAAATGCTTTGTCAAATATAAGGCCTATAGTTTTTCTGCTTTTCTATTTTTTATGTCCTTTCAGAGCATAACATAACATTATTTAGTATCTAAAAATTTTAAACATTGTTTCTAGTGTTAATCTGTTAATGCATGCTTGTTTTAGAAATTTGAAAAATAAAAGAATAATGAAAGCCACTTTTAATTCTGTTATTGAATCTGCCATTTTTTAAATATAGAAAACAATGTATAATATAAACTCACATTTTACAAAATTAGAATCACTTTTCTCTTAGTAGACTGAGCATGAGGTTTTTATGTGCTATGTTATGCTATATTAACTTTTTAATCATTTCCTTTTATATATCTATATTGATTTTAAAAATTAGTTTCTTAGTGTTCTACAAAAAACTTCATGCATAAATTTCTGTTTTAATTGCTGAATATTTCCTTAGAATACATTTTTTAATATTTGAAACATATTTGATCATTTTAAAGGTAAAAAGACTGATGTTCATACCTTTTTTAGTAGTAGAACAGTAATAATGTACTTTAAAAACAATGTAAGAGTAGTATCATTGTGACACTGACACAGAAGGGATGCTTCTTCCTTTTCTTACAGAAGAGAAGTATATAGTATTCTTCAAGCTGAAGGTATTTTACTTCCTCGTTATGCAATTTTGAACCGTGACCCAAATAATCCCAAAGGTAAGAGTAAGAGATTTCACGTCAACTGCGTTTTGCCACTTGACATACTTTTAGACCACTTCCCTACCATAATTAACGGGATGGAATTTAAAGAATTACATAGTATTCGGGGCCAGCAGATGGCATGGTGGTTAAGGGCACTGGACTCACATGGCCAAGCATGGCTTGAGTCCCAGACCTGACAGCCTGCTTTCTCACTCTCTATCTCCCTCTCTCACTCTGTTCCTCTCTGGTCAAATTAAAATAAATAAGTAAATAAAGTTAAATAAAATAATTCTTTAAGGGAAAGAAAAAATTACTTAGTCATTTTTTTTTTAAAGTGAACTCAACAAGTGTTGTATTTGTTTAAGATATGACCTTGTGAGCTAAAGGCTTATTGATAATTTAGGAATTATCTATCCTGTTTTTCATCTGTCTACATTTGCTGTATCTCTTAGAAACATAAAGACAAATTCAAAAATTATATGCTCAGTAAATTTGTATTGATTAGGAGTAACCAAGTTATTCATCTATGACTATTAAATTAAATATTAGAAACTTCATTGTATGATCTCATAGTTCAGTATCTGGTGACTAGGAATTTTCAAATATTACTATTTACTGGGTCATCGGAAGGCATGATGTATTTTTCTAGGCAAAAATGCATCTTGACTTTTCCAGTGCCCCAGTGTTACTAGGAGGTGTCTTCAGAAAGTTTATGAAAAATGCACATGATGAAAAATCTATGAGAGATTTTGAAATTGTTTTTTTCTTTTTTAAGAGATTTTTGCCATAGGGCATGTTTGCTCACTGGAAAGAGAGCAAGACAGAGCCAGTGAGAGGAAAAGTGAGAAATAATCCCCCTAGGGGGCATGGCCACATCACAGTCCCTTCTCCTCCGTTTTCCTCCTGGGATCTTGGAAACTGCACATATGCGCCTGGTGTGATTTTCCAGCCACCTGGTCCAGGGATTCAAACCATGGCCAGCCATGTGAGAGTCCAGCAGTGTTAACCACTATACCGCCTACTTGCCCCAGAATTGTTTTTTGTATGGGGGTATACTTGTTGTACTTTAATTTAATTTTCTATGAACTTTTAAAGTCCTCTCATTTAATTTTTTAAAAGAAAAATTTAAAAAAAAATTATTCCATTTAACTTTATTTATTTTAATTTGACCAGAGAGGGACAAAGCAAGAGAGAGAGTGAAAGTGAGAAAGCAAGCCACCAGGTACAGTACTTGAACCATAGTCAGCCATTTGGAAGTCCAGTGCCCTTAACCACCAAGCCACCTGCCGGCCCTCAGAAGTCCTCTCATTTTAGAGCACAGTTTGCTTCATTTTCCCTAGTTATCTAAAACATGTAAACTGTACATTACTTAGTCAAAGGACAAGATAAATGTTTTTCATAACAGTATTCTGATAGCATTGAGTATTTTGAGGATTTTTGATGACTTTATTGTACCTGAAAGCACATTTTATTACACATTGGACACAGCATTTTGAAACAAAGAACTTTTCTCATTTTTCTAGAAGTGAAAAATTAACTTTCTATCTGGATTACTTACTTACTCTACATATGGATTACTTTTCTAATGTGAATAATTTCATGGTTTTGATTACCTGATACGAATGATCCCACACATTTGTCAAAAGATGGTGGCATTCTGGAGTTACTTCTTTGTCCTTCTTTTTCTTCATGATATAGTACAAGTGCACATAGAGACAGAAAAAGTGGGGGGCGGGAAGGGTCACAGAAAGCACCCGGCAGTGGGACCTGGTCATACCACAGATCTTCTTCCAGTTCTCCATATTCAGGATCCTAGGCATGCGCAGCTCGTGTATTGCTGATGGGGCCAGGATTGAACCCTAGTCTTCCAGAGGGGATTCTGCTTCTCTTGCACAATGTTTAACCATTGTACTTTGGGGCCAGCCTTCGTCTTTCTTAATGGCATCATTTCACGTCTAACTTTAAATTTTGTGGCATGGTAAACTTTAAATTTTGTGGCATGGTAGTGTGAAATGGCAAACTGATAAAAAGTTTTAGAAAGCACTGATAGTTCTTAATGCCATGTACATCATAAATGTTGGTAAATGTAGTTTGCTTAAATATCTAATTAAAATTAAATAAGTACGTTGTCTGAGTTTATTTTTCATTGTACTCTTTCTTCCAGTAAAAATGTTCCCATTAATAATACAGTGTCTACGTAATATAATGCACTGTGTAATTTTCTTGGTATTTTGTTTGATTTATAGAATGCAACCTGATTGAAGGGGAAGATCATGTAGAAGTAAATGGGGAAGTTTTCCAAAAACCATTTGTGGAAAAACCAGTCAGTGCAGAAGATCATAATGTTTACATTTACTACCCAACCTCTGCTGGGGGTGGGAGTCAGAGGCTCTTTAGGAAGGTAAACCTTTGTAATCTTTGTATGAATACTATTCTTCATAAAAAAAAAGGAACAAAGCATTTAATAAAACTATTATTGAATTCTTGAAAAGGTATTATTTAAAGGTAAATTCACAAAACTGATACTAAATGTTAGAAAAGCAAAGCATTATTTTACTTAATGATGTTAAGCAGGATTTCTATGGAAAAAAATGCTAAGAAAATAACTTTTTTTTATAACCTCCCATTTGTATGTACATCAAACCAAGAATTCAGATAAAGATCATCAGTCTTTTTTTTTTGGAGAGTTTTTTCCTGTAGGGCACATACGCTCGCCAGAAAGAGAGAGGCAGAGAGACAGAACGCGAGAAATCACCACCCGGGGGGATGGCCACACCACAATCCCTTCTCCTCCATTCTCCTCTCGGAATCTTGGGCACGCACACACATGCGCCTGGCGTGAGTTTAAGCCATCGGGTCTGGGACTCGAACCATTCTCGACTACATGGGAGTCCAGCGACAGCCATTATGCTAACTGCTGGTCCCAAAGATCATCAATCTTTTAAAAAAATGGCCCAGAAAATATAGTTCATTGAAAGTAATACTGATAACATATATACATGAAAGTATGTCCAACTGTACCCATAGTATAATTAATGTAAAACAAATCTAAAATATGAGTTGTGTTAGTTTTTGGATTGGTGAAGATAAAAAATATTGAGATAGTTAGGAAGCAACAAAGCTCAAACATTTTTGTCAGGAATGCAAAATGGTGTAGACTCTTAGAAACAATCAATGTGTCAGAATTATAAATGCAGGTACACTTATAAACAGTCATAAAATGCAAATGAAGAACACAGTAAGATACTTCTTTTTTTTTTTTTTAAAGAGGTTTTTGCTATAGGGTGCATGTGCTCACCAGACAGACAGAGACAGAGAAGCAGTAAGTGAGAAGTCACCCCGAGGGGGGATGGCCACTCCGCAATCCCTTCTCCTTTATTCTCCTCTCTGCATTTTGGGCACGCACACACTGGCACCCGGCGTGAGTTTTTTGGTTTTTGGTTTTTGGTTTTTTTTGAGAGGTTTTTCGCTATAGGGCGCGTGCGCTTGCCAGACAGAGAGACAGAAAGCGAGAAATCATCCCCCAGGGGGGATGGTCTCGCCGCAATCCCTTCCCTTCCATTCTCCTCTTGGGATCTTGGGCATGCACGCACATGCGCCCAGGGTGAGTTTTAAGCCACAGGTCGGGGACGCGAACCACGGTCAACTACATGGGAGTTCAGCGACAGACATAGCCATTACGCTAACTGCTGGTTCCCATACCCGGCATGAGTTTTAAAGCCACCAGCTCTGGGGTGCTAACCGCGGTCGACTACATGGGAGTCCAGCGACATAGCCATTACGCTAACTGCTGGTCCCACAATAATATCCCCCTGAAGTGGCAAATATTAAGAAGTCTAATAATATCAGTTATAGATTAAGAATGTAGACCAGAAGGAACTCACATATTTTGCCGGTGAGGCTCTAAATTGGAATAGTTTATAAAAGATTAGAATAGTTTATAAAAAGATTTTGGCTTTATCTTCACAAGTTGAATATGTACATATTCTATCATCTGGCAATTCTATTTCTTTTTTTTTTTTTTTTTTACAAATTATGTGTTTTTTGGAGAGATTTTTTTGCTATAGGGTGCATGTGGTTGCCAGACAGAAACAGAAAGACAGAAAGTGAGAAATCACACCCCCCCCCCAAGGGGGGATGGCCACATCACAATCCCTTTTCCTCCATTCTCCTCTTGGGATCTTGGGCACACATGTACATGTACCCGGCATGAGTTTAAGCCACCGGGTCCAGGTCTTAAACTGCAGTCAACTACGTGAGAGTCCAGCGATGTAGCCATCATGCCACCTGCTGGTCCCCTTTGAGAATTATTTATTTAGTTAGTTCCATTTGTTGTTGTTATTATTATTATTATTATTTAATTTGACCAGAGAGAGAGAAAGGGAAAGTCAGGTTTGGGACTTGAACTACCATGGGCCATGTGGGAATTCAGCATCTTTAACTACCATGTCACCTGCTGGCCCCTGACAATTCTATTTCTAAGATATATGCTAGGAACATTCTTGCACAGATGTGTTGTGAGAACACTTAATAAGAATGTTCAAGGCAACATTGTTGCAATAGTCAAAGCTTGGAAAAAGCCTAAACATAACTTAAGAGAATGGATGAATTCTGGTGTATTTACATGGAAAATTCTGTAGTAGTAAAAAATGAACAAATTTGAGTTATATGCAGTAACATGAATGGATCTTAAAAAGATAATTCTTAGGACCAGCAGATGATGTAATGGTTATGTTGCTGGACTCCCACGTAGTCAACTGTGGTTTGAGTCTTGGGCCTGGTAGCTTAAGACACACTGAATGTGTATGCTTGTGTGCCCAAAATCCTGAAAGGAGGATGGAGGAAAAGGGATTGCAGCATGGTCATCCTCTCCCCCCTCCCCCCCCAGGGCAGGGGTGATTTCTTGCTTTCTGTCTCTCTTGTTTTTCTCTGCCTGGTGAGCGCACATGCCCTATAGCAAAAATCTCTCTGTGAAAAAAAAAGAATTCTTGAAGTTTATTACATTTATTACATTTTTATCCTCTTTAGCTTACAGTGAGCATAGGAAATAATATATGCAAATTATATAGAAAGTGTTTTTTTAAATATCCAGGGGGTTGAAAAAGGATATTTGAACATTCCTAAAATGGTTAACAAAGGTTATATTATAAGAATTAGAAAAATAATTTGATTACACATTAATGGACATCTTTTGGTTTCAGATTGGCAGTAGAAGTAGTGTTTATTCCCCAGAAAGCAATGTACGAAAAACTGGCTCGTATATATATGAAGAATTTATGCCCACAGATGGTACTGATGTTAAGGTAGGATTAACTAAAGTATGTTTCAATTTTCTACTAGGGTGGTACTAATATTAAGATATGTTTGATTAGATTAAATTTCGTGTTTTGAGTTTAAGGAACATTCTTTTTTAAACTAGCTATATCTAACCTCTATTCTGTACCTTTTGTTTTTCAGTTAGGGATTCTTAAAACTGTTTTGTACGTGAGCACCTCTGACAATCTGAAACCTATGGACCCTTTTTAAGTACAGTGTTCTTAAAGATGTAAAATAAAACATTACAAAGGAGGACTACAAAGGAGAGAAACTTACCAAAATACTTAAAAGTCAGCTTTGTTATATAATAACATATATGCTACTTTAAAAGGGCATTCAGTAATAAAACAGCAATTAAGGGCTTATAGTCAATACAGTTAACAAGGAGTGGTAGTATAAACGGTGTTTTGAGATCCGTGACAGTAATGTGATATGAACATATCTGGAATTTCAGTTGGTGACAGATAAGGTTTAATTCCTTTACCTTCAGCCAGTCTCTATAACCAGAGAATTCTGATCCTGAGCCTATCTTTTTTTTTTGAGAGTTTTTTTTTTGCTGTATGGTGCGTACGCTCGCCAGACAGACAGAGACAGAGAGACAGAAAACCAGAAATCTCCCCCCAGGGGGGATGGCCACGCCGCAATCCCTTCTCCTCCATTCTCCTCTCGGGATCTTGGGCATGCATGCACACGCACCTAGCATGAGTTTAAGCCACCGGGTCTGGGACTCGAACTGCGGTTGACTACGTGGGAGTCCAGCGACATAGCCATAACGCTAACTGCTGGTCCCCCTGAGCCTATCTTTAACAGTTACCTAGTGAATTCTCTTTGGCCACAGAACGGTAACCAGATTCATAAGCCTGCCACACAAGACATTTCAGTCTGTCCTCTGTCTTACAAACCGTATTTCTTGCAGTGTAAACTACATCCAGTGAGTTGCCCTTACCAGGATACATCATGCTGTTTGGTGCTCTCTGACTTGTATTTGTTGCCTCTACTGAGAGTGATTTTTCTTCTCTTGTCTGTATTTAGACCTACCTGTTATTTATTTATTTATTTATTTTGGAGAGGTTTTTGCTATAGGGCGTGTGCGCTTGCCAGAAAGACAGAGAGAGACAGAGAGACAGAAAGCAAGAAATCACCCTTTCAGGGGCGATGGCCACGCCGCAATCCCTTCTCCTCCATTATCCTCTCGGGATCTTGGGCATGCATGCACACGCACCCAGTGTGAGTTTAAGCCCCCGGTCTGGGACTCAAACTGTGGTCGACTACATGGGAGTCCAGCAACATAGCCATTACTCTAATGCTGGTCCCTAGACCTACTCTTTTAAAAAATTTCTTTTGGTAGTTTTCTCCTATAATATTTTATAATTACTGATATCTTCCCTTTGTTAAACTAAAACAGCTTGGGGAGTTAGCATTGTATATGAACTAGCGTTTCCTTAAAATGATCAGTACAAGAGTTTTATATTGATAATGAAACTTCAGTCTACCAGTTTTGCCTTATAATCAACTACATATAGCCTTTCCCAATGTACTAAAAATTTTGTCATGTAAATTAGAAGATGTATCTTTCTAATTGGGGTCTGAGCAACTCGCTATTGATTTCTTTTTTTCCCTTTGGGTATGTTGTCTCTTGGTTATATACTCACACAAGCACACACTCACACGTACATTTACTTGACATTTGTCAAAGGTTTATACAGTGGGTCCAGATTATGCCCATGCTGAAGCTCGAAAATCTCCAGCACTTGATGGCAAGGTGGAACGAGATAGTGAAGGAAAAGAAGTAAGGTACCCTGTTATTCTCAATGCCCGAGAGAAATTAATTGCTTGGAAAGTCTGCCTTGCCTTTAAGGTAAGATGTTATATAAGCTACATATATAGACCCTTGTAAAAGAATTTCTAATTTTCTTTTTTGACTAAGAGACATCATTTGTATTTATAATAAGAAAAATAAGCTGAGAAAGTAAGTACATATGAATGGCTCGTGTACTTTTCCAAAGATTTTTGTAGTGCCTCTATCTTATATTTTTATAGTGCCAATATATTCTTTTCTTAAGAATCATTTATTTTATTTTATTTGTTGTTATTACTGTTTTGATTATTTACTTGATCAGAGAGAGACAGAGAGAGAAAGGGAAAGTGAGAAGGCAAGCCGCTAGGTCCAGGACTTGAACTGTGGTTAGCCATGGTTAACTGCCCCACCTGCAGGCCCTACCAATATATTCTTTTTGTATTTTATAAAAGGAAACCTTGTTAGTTTATTCAGAGATTATGGAAAGTAACTCAGCTAATCAGTGTTTAAGGATATTATCTAACATATTTTTTAAAACTGGTTGTCAAGTATTAACTTTCACGGAATTCATAATTTTTTTGTTGAATAAAAAGGATCCTCAATGTTCAAACCTTGACAATTGATCTTTTGGCCTAATACATAATAAAATATGTTCATGAAAATAATATAAATGTATTTTTGGGAAGAAAGCATTTTATTTCTGACATTGACTAATTTTCTTAATCTGCATTATTAGGTTTTTATCTAATTACAGTGTGGTAAAGATTTAAATATTGGAAGTTGTTAAATGATAAATACTTTGTGTCTTAAGGATTTCTTGGAATCTATTTCAAGAAAGGAAGGCTAGCCTGTAAATGTGTTTTAATAGCCTTATTGCAATTGTTTTATTATGCCAAGAGTCCAGAAACCATGATTTAACATCACATTATACTTATAAGCAATTATTTGATTTAAATGAAGATCAGGAAGTGCTTAGAGCCTGAAAATGAAATTCATACATTTTAGCCATCTTTTCTCCCAAGTAAAGTGACTATTTCAGGTGCTCACAAATATGTGTTTGGTAGGGTTTAAAAGATTCACAGATATAATTGGACATTTGCTCTGAGTTAAGTCTTCAAAAGTATTTTTTTTATCTGTTGATGATATCATATATGATAATATCTTTAACTGAACTAATATGCAGTGTATTTATGCTGGAAAAATTAAAAAACAAAACAAAAAATTTTTCCGTTTTTTGTATTAAAATGATGTAATGTCTACTAGTACTAATTTATTAGTACCTTTAATAATTTTTGGCTTTGTTTTTTAAAGAAATGTTAAAGAGGTTTTTCATATATTTTTTGCATCTCTATGCATTATAACATATAGTCTACTTCATGAGAAGGAAATTAAGGATTAGATGATATATATAATGGATCTTTGGCGTACTCACATTAAAGATAGTCATTTTTACTTACCGAAGCAAACCAATGTATATAATACACTTCTAGGAATTTATAAATTTGATATGTTTCATTACAACTGGAAAACTGTTTATCTTAAAAATTTGAATGCAACCTTAATGTTTATAACTTATTTTAAATAGCAAACCGTCTGTGGCTTTGATTTGTTACGGGCCAATGGGCAGTCCTATGTCTGCGATGTTAATGGCTTCAGTTTTGTGAAAAATTCCATGAAATATTATGATGATTGTGCAAAAATACTTGGGTAAGAATTTTGAAATTGATTTTTCTTTACATATTAGTTATTCAGGAGCCAACTAACTGTTAATGTTAGATTATCAGGATCTTTTCATTCTAGACTGAAAATGAGGGTCGGGACCAGCAGTTAGCGTAATGGCTATGTTGCTGGACTCCCATGTAGTTGGCCGCAGTTCGAGTCCCAGACGTGGTGGCTTAAACTCATGCCATGCGTGTTTGCGTGCATGCCCAAGATCCCGAGAGAAGAAAGGAGGAGAAGGGATGTGGCGTGGCCATCCCCCCTAGGGGGGGTGATTTCTCGCTTTCTGTCTCTCTGTCTTTCTGGTGAGCTCATGCACCCTATACCAAAAAAAAAAACTTCTCCAAAAAAAAAAAAAATGAGGGTTCATAAAATAATACCTTCAAACACTATGCCGGATCCTTAATTATACTTTGGGTTACAAAGACAGAGTAATTTATGGTCACTGTAGATGAAGGCCTAAATATATTTTAATGTCATAGATTTAGAAATGTATAGTGATTATTAATCACAATAATTTATTAGAATACCTTGTTCCTTAGGTTTTTACTATATAATTATTAGGTCATTGGGAAGATATGACGTATTTTTCTATGTAGAAATGTGTCATGATTTTCCTGAAGACCCAGTATAATTGAGGTTTCATATTCTTACTTAGTAGTGTAAAATTAGCATTCATGATATAAGTAACCAGGTTAAAATAGAAATATTTGTAATTCAATATTATTTTATGTGACAATTTTTCCTGTAAGAATGTTCCTTGAAGATATTCTCAATAAGATTCTCAGGTGAGGGGCCAGCAGGTGGCGTAGTAGTGAAGATGCTGGACTCCCATGTGGCTGACAGTGGTTTGAGTCCCAACCAGCAGCCTGAAACTCATGCAAGGCTCGTGTGCATGTGCACCCAAAATCATGAGAGGAGAATAGAAGAGAAGGAATTGTGGCATGGTCATCCCCCCAAGGGGCTGATTTTTCATTTTCTGTCTCTCCAGCGAGCATACACACTCTATAGCAAAAAATCTCTCTCTCAAAAAAAAAAAAAAAAGATTCTCAAGTGAATGTATAAGAAATTATTCAAATAGAAATACCATTTTTGTATTCTTTGCCCTGTTTTTTTTTTATACATTTACTGAGAAAACTAGCAAGGCAAGAACTACTTTTAAGAAATTTGATCTGGCATGGCATGGTGGTTGGGGCACTGAACTCCTACATGGCCTACCGCGGTTTGAGTCCCAGACCTGGTGGCTTGGTTTCTCTCTCTCTCTCTCTCTCTTTCTCTCCCTCATTCACTCCATCTCTCTCTGGTCAAATTTTAAAAATAAATAAATAAAGTTAAATAAAATCTTAAAAAAAGAAAAAGTTATTTCAAGTACACATGGAAAAGCCATAGGAAAATCACATATTAAAATGTTTAGAATCAGTGGGGCCAGTAGGCAGAATTGTGGTTAAGACACTGGACTCCCTCTATATGGCCGACAGCCATCTGAGTCCTAGACCTGGTGGCTTGAAAATCATACAGGGCACATGTGTGTACATGCCCAGAATCCCAAGAGGAGAATAAAGGAGAAGGGATTGTGATGTTATCATTTCCCCAGGGGTTGATTTCTCACTTTCCCTCTCTGTCTCTCTCAGGTAAGGGCACACACCCTATATCAAAAAACCTAAAACAAACAAACAAACAAACAAAATCAGCTTAGAATCATCTTTTATATTGGGCCATCGAAAAGTTCTTTGTAAAAATGTGTCGTGACTTTTCTGACAACCTGATAGTGTGTTTTAAAGATTCTTCAACTTAGCCTTAGAGTAAAATTTAAGGGGAGTTTGCTAAATTTCAGCATGAATAAATAATAAGCTTAAACAAAATTTAAAAATCTTGTAATTCCTTAGACATATCTCCATTGTTAACCTTATTAGTAAAATGTAATAGTGATTTTCTAAAAATGAGCCTATTTAGAACAGCTTGTAAGTTCAACAAGCTGATAAGAAAAGATTAGTGGCTACAAAGTGACAACCTGAAATTCTAAAAAAATCTTGTAATTCCTTAAACATATCTCCATTGTTAACCTTATTAATAAAATGTAATAGTGATTTTCTAAAGATGAGCACTTTAGAACAGCTTGTAAGTGCAGTAAGAAAAGATGAGTGGCCACAAAGAGACAATCTGAGGTTCTAGAATGGATGAATTAGATACTGTATAATAGTGATTTACTTGACTCTAATGTTGACTTATATTTTAAAACTGAATGAGTAAATGATTCCAAAATTTGGGTATCACTTTTGGATATGTGTGCTTTTTTTTTTTTTTTTTTTTCCACTGGAGAGACAGAGAGACAGAAAGTGAGAACTCACCCCCCTCGGGGATGACCTCGCTGCAGTCCCTTCTCTATTCTCTTGGGATTTGGGGCATGCAGTCACATGTGTTTGGCATGTTTTAAACTGCCAGATCTGGGACTTGAACTGTGGTCAACTACGTAGGAGTCCAGTGACATAACCATTATGCCATCTGCTGGTCCCGTTTGTGTGTGTGTAAGTGTGTGTGTGTGTTAATTGCAAAGACTGCATGCATTCTCCAGAGAGACACACAGAAAGGAAGGGACAAAGACTCCTAGATGGGGTGTAGTCAATCCCTTCTCCATTTTACCTTCCTATTGAGATTTGGGACATATGTGCACCTGGGGTATTTTTCAGACCTCCCCAGGGCCAGGATTCACACTGTGTAGTTGGCCACGTGTAATCTTGTTCTTTTTCGTGACATGTCATGGAGCTAGCCCCATTGGTCTATTTTGATCTAGCAGTTTAGAACCGCCCATCTCATTTTTCTCAATCAAATTTTATTTTTGGGTTATTCTCTATGTGGTATGATCATGAGGTAGTTTACTTTAAACTCTTAAGATTCTCTATCACTGTGTCATGAAGTACCCAATTTTGTATTAAAATGAGCTAATTTCTATTTTTTCCTTGGTTTTTTTTTTTTTTTTGGTCTTGAAGAAATATTGTAATGCGAGAGCTTGCTCCACAATTTCATATCCCTTGGTCCATACCCTTAGAAGCTGAAGATATCCCAATTGTACCAACGACATCTGGAACTATGTAAGTTCTAAGAAATTCCTTGAGTTTTCCCTGTCAATCTATGTTATTACAATAATTCTGAATGATTTTTTTTTTTGGAGAGGTTTTTGCTACAGGGCACATGAGCTCGCCAGAAAGAGAGAGAGACAGAGAGGCATAAAGCAAGAAATCACCCCCCGGGGGGATGGCTACACTGCAGTCCCTTCTCCTCCATTCTTCTCTCAGGATCTTGGGTATACATGCTCACATGCCTGGCATGAATTTAAGCCACTGGGTCCGGGACTCCAACCATGGTCGACTACATGAGAGTCCGGTGACATAGCCATTACGCCAACTGCTGGTCCCAAATTTCTGAATGATTTTTAAATATAGTGTATATTTTTATATGATTTAGTTTGAAGATGGAGGACTAGATTATATGCTTTTACAAAGGTTTACTGTACTAAAAATCTTTCATATTGTTTTGAGAAAAATCTTGAAACATACTTAGGTGTATATATATATATTGTTTGTTTGTTTGTTTGTTTTTTTGAGAGAGGTTTTTGCCATAGGGCATGTGTACTCACCAGCAAGACAGAGAAATGGAAAGTGAGAGATCACTCTGCAGGGGGAATGGCCATGTTACAATCCCTTCTCCATTCTCCGTTATGGATTTTGGGCACTCAAGCACATGTGCCCGGTTTGAATTTTAAGCTGCCAAGTCTGGAACTCAAACCATGGTCTACTGTGTGGGAGTCCAGCAGTATAACCATTACACCATCTGCTGGTCCCCATACTTGGGTAATTATAGAGCTGTACAATCAATCAAGCCCTAAAAATAAAAAAGACAGAGCTGATAGATGGCGTAGTGGTTATGGGTGTTGGACTCCCACATGGCTAACCTTGGTTCAAGTTCTGGAGTTTTGAACCGTGATTGGCCATGTGGGAATGCAGCAGCTGCAACCACCACGCCACCTGCTGGCCCAAATAAAATAATTCGGAAAAAAAATAAAAAGGGTTCATAGTGTTCTTACAACTTTGACTCTTTCAAATTATATCTTGAGGTGAGTTAATTATATCAGCGTTGCCAAAGTGTTTTACACAAACATTCTACTAATGAAAGTTACTCCTTGAAAAGTCAGGTGAAGTAGTATTTTTCATGGTGCAGATTTGAAATAGTAAAAGATGGCTGTAATGAAGTAATTAGATGTTCCATTAATGTAGATGATATAAATCTTAAGGAAGTTTTCTTTTTTGTTATTTTAGGATGGAACTTAGATGTGTCATAGCTGTCATACGTCATGGGGATCGTACACCAAAACAAAAAATGAAAATGGAAGTGAGGCATCAAAAGTATGTTTTAAAAGGAATGATTTATTCTTCATGGGGTGTGTGTGTGTACGTGTGTGTGTAGTTTTTTTGCTATGGGGTACTTGTACTCAGCAGAGAGAGCTGGGAGGCAACCCCTGGAGGGATGGCAATGTGATCCCTTCTTCTCCAGTCTCTTCTTGGGATTTTGAGCTTGCACACTCAAATGCCTGGTTTGATATTCAAGCCATTTTCCAGGACTTGAACATGCAGTTGGCCCTGTGGAATCTAGTCACCCTAACCTCCATACTACCTATTGGCCCCTCATAGTATAATTTTAAGATTTCTTATAACTGGTAAGCTCTCTTGATTAATAGCATATACAAAAAGTTTTATATACTAGTTCTTACCCATTAGGATTTAAACCATTAGGATTTGTACAACTGGATACATACAAACTTAATTTAAAATAATTACATATGTCAATGTCTGAAGATGATCGTGGTAGTATCTATAAATATCAGTGTGACTTGGCTTTCATTTATTGTTGTAAAAGGTGCTCTATTTAATCTTGGTTTATCTTTCTTTTAACATTGTATCATGAGAGTTACTAAGCTTTCAGCCTTCCAAAAAAAATTAGTCAAATAAAGTTTCTTTTATTTATTTAGTGTTTGATTTAGAGGTGATAGAATTTGAAAACCTGGGGCCATTAAATATATATTGACACATATCTTTTAATGAGTATCCACTGACTTCATAGAATATATAATACAATCTATGTTCAGTTTCCATCCGGAAACTTTGAAAGTATCAAGCTGATTATTAACTTAAGATGGTTTAGGAAAGTACTAAATTTTGTTGAAATAGAGGAGTAACATTGTGTAATAGAGGAAACATAATACTTGAAATCAGAGACCTTGAATTCTTGTTCTATAACCATTATTTATTAATATTTATTCATTTAGTATATGACGGTAATAATTATTGTGAATGACTAGTTGTGCTATGTCTCTTTTAAAGATTTTTTGATCTTTTTGAAAAGTGTGATGGATATAAATCTGGGAAATTAAAACTCAAAAAACCAAAACAATTACAGGCAAGTATATTTGCTTTCTCATTAAGTTTAAATTTTTTAATAGTGTAATTACATAAAAATTCAAATCTTTATTAATTTATTTAATAGGAAGTATTGGATATTGCACGACAGCTTCTTATGGAACTGGGACAAAATAATGATTCTGAAATTGAAGAAAACAAACCAAAACTTGAACAACTTAAGACTGTATTAGAGATGTGAGTATCTTTTTGAAACCATTCGTTGATAGTTGTTCTGTTTTGTATGTGTGACTTTCCATTTTAATTTCCTTCGCAGTTTGATCAGGTTGTTTTATTGAAGGTTATTGTTTTAGTTTTAATTTCGGTGAGGAGATTATAAGAACACATCACCTTTGTATCTTCTATGAAGTAGTGCTTAGAATGAAGGCCCCTTATGAACTAGCCCTAGATTCAGTACTGTTGAAGTAGAAAATTTTTAAACTGTACTTTAATCAAATAAAGTTAACTCACTGATGTTCCTCTTATGATCTGTACATATTTGACTACTTATAATCTTATTTCCTTTATTTTGTAAATACACATTTGTATATTTTTAGAGAGAGAAATTTTTGCTATAAGGGCACGTGTGCTTGCTGACAGACAAAGATACATCACGCCCCAGCAGGATGGCCACACTACAGTCCCCTCCCTTCCATTCTCCTCTCAGGATTTTGGGCACGCGTGCACATGTGCGCAGCGTGAGTTTCAAGCTGCCAGGTCTGGGACTCGAACCAGCAATGAACAGCAGTGTGGGAATCCAGCAATGTAACCATTATGCCATCTGCTGGTCCCTACACATATTTTCACACATTTCTGTATATTAGCCTTCATCAGAATTATCAAACTTTTATAGTAAAACTTTTTTGTATTTTTTTTTTTAAGTGGTGAGAATGACTACCTCTGGCATAAAGTTTTTGCTAGAATTTTTTTTTTTTTTTAGTCTGTCATAGGGTGTATGTGCTTGCCAGGGAGAGAGAGTGAGAGAGAGAGAGAGAGAGAGAAAGAAAGACATAGAAAGAGAATGAATGAATGTGAAAAGGGATCCCCCAGGAGGTATTATCATACCACAGCCCTTTTTCCTTCTTCTTTCATTCTTCTCTTGGGATTCTAGACATGCATGCACATGTTCCCAGCATGTTTTTCAAATTACCAAATCTGGGACTTGAACCACACAGTCCTGTGGGTTCCAGACACCTTAATCATTGTGCCACTGACTGGCCCTCTGGTAGGATATTTTTAAAAATTCAATGAATTGGTTGCTTATGGAGGGGATATTAATATGTGGGATTTTGTTTTTTTTGCTATAGGGCACGTGCGCTCTCCAGAAAGACATGGAGAGACAGAGAGACAGAAAGCAAGGGAACCAGCAGTTAGTGTAATGGCTATGTTGCTGGACTCCCACATAGTCGACCGCGGTTCACGTCCCGGATCCGGTGGCTTAGAACTCACGCCAGGCACGTGTGCGTGCGTGCCTAAGATCCCGAGAGGAGAATGGAGAAGAAAGGATTGTGGTGTGACCATCCCTCCTGGGGGGTGATTTCTCGCTTTCTGTCTCTATGTCTCTCTCTGTCTGGCGAGCATATGCGCCCTATAGCGAAAACCTCTCCAAAAAAAACAAAAAGAAAGAAAGCGAGAAATCACCCCCCAGCGGGGATAGCCATGCCACAATCCCTTCTCCATTCTCCTCTGGGGATCTTCGGCACACACACACGCGCCCGGCATGAGTTCAAGCCACTGGGTCCAGGACATGAACTGCAGTCGACTACATGGTAGTCCAGTGACAGCCATTACGCTAACTGCTGGTCCTGGAATTTGTTTTTTATACATGGGTTTTAGTTTTTCTTTAGAATGCCACATCAATGTTTATCAAAATATTTTGCTTGCCATTTTATTTTTCAGGTATGGACATTTTTCTGGAATAAATCGTAAGGTCCAGTTGACCTATCTTCCCCATGGTTGTCCTAAAACATCTAGTGAAGAGGAAGGTATGTTGTTCTTAATGCTTATTGGTTTTTACTTATATGTAGTGCTATAGTATTCATTGATTGGATTTGGACCATCCCCTGCTTAGTAGTATAGGGGCTGGCCTACTGAATCAAGAAAAATAAAGTTGTTAACTATGCTTTCTAGTCTTTAAAAGATAGGTGTTACTGTTTTGGAACCTGGTTAGAACTTCCCTTTTATTCTAGGATTATTTCGGAAAGCGTATTTATTCTTGTTCGCCATAGGGAATTGATGGAGAGAGAGAGAATGAGAAAGGGGGGATAGTGAGAAATCATCTCCCGCGGGGATGACCACATTGCAATCACTTCTTCATTCTCCTTTCAGGATTTTGGGCATGCACACACATGTACCTGGCATGTTTATTTATTTATTTATTTTCTTTTTTGGGAGAGGTTTTTGCTATATGGCGCATGCGCTCGCCAGAGAGACCGAAATAGAGAGACAGAAAGCGAGAAATCACCCCCCGGGGGGATGGCCACGCCACAATCCCATCTCCTCCACTCTCCTCTCGGGATCTTGGGCACGCACGCACACACGCCTGGTGTGAGTTTAAGCCACCCAGTCCAGGACTCTAACCGCGGTCGACTACATGGGAGTCCAGTGACATAGCCATTATGCTAACTTGCTGGCCCCTACCTGGCATGTTTTTCAAGCTTATGGGTCTAGGACTCAAACCAGACAGACTGCAATGTGGTATTCAGCAGCTTTAAACACCATGCCACCAACTGGCAAGCGTATTTACTTATAACTGTTATTTAATGGTCCTCTTTCTTCCTCTTTTGATAGAGGAGAGCAAAGTATATAGGAAGACAACTTAAGAAACATGAAAAGACTACCTGAAAATATTAATAATCAACAAGTTTCTAATGTAAATTGATATTACCCTCTACCCAATAAATCAGAATAGTCAATTTAAATAAGGTTGAACTCCTTCAAGCAATTGGCAGAAAAGTTTATAAACTTATTTACCTTTCAAAAAAAAAAAAAATGAGCAGAGCTTGAGGAAGTAATTTCATGGAGACATGCAGATAGCCAGTATAATAATAATAATATTAATCTTTGCCTGTCACACTGGCAACAAAAATTATTATTCTTTTTCGAACTGATAATATAGAATACTGAGGAGAATACGTTGCGCTGATTCAAGTCTTGTATCCCTCTGCTCATGGAGCAATACTCTTTTAAATGCAGACCAATAAAATAGCGAGAGAAAGAGAGGCACATTTCCTCCCTCACCACTATCTACCTCAAAGGTGCAGCTTACTTCTAATAGTCTTCTAATAGTGGATGCACGGATTTTCAGCTGGCATCCAGTGAGCCCTGGTCTGGCAGAGGCCATCCTCCTAACACTTGGGTGAAATCCGTGAGCCCATCATTCTGAAACTTGTGCTGAGGAACAGTATGCATGGAACCAAAGAAGAACCAGTGGCAGGGGTGGTCTTTGGCCACATAATTCTAATGCTAAAATAAATCATGCATCATTTTGCATTGATTAGGAAATGCCAGATTAATTTTCCAAACAGTGTGAGGTCATTATCCCGCTTAGAGGAACTGAAGGAAGAGGCTAAGCCAGCAACCTTTGCCCTTTCAGTGTGTGCAGAAGCTTCACGGGAGGCACTGCAGAAAGGGAGGGCTCTCCTTCCGGCCAAAGACGTGAGGGAAAGTGCAGCAGCCACGAACAGCAGAGCCAGACTGGAAGGACGGGGAGATGGTGTTTCAGGCCTCACTCGTGCAAAAGGGAGAGTTTTCACTTTTTCCACTTGAGCCATATTACTGCTTTCATTGCCTGATAGAGAAAGGGCAGGGAAACAGACCAGCACCTGTTCACGGGCCCTTCTTTCTATCACCTTCCTAACCCCGCGAGGAGATACCATCATTCTCATCTTACAGAGGAGACTAAGCGAGGACGAGTGACTTCTTCTCAAGGCCAGATTATCAAATCATAACCCATTTTCCATGGAAAAGGTTGTCCACCTCTGATTTTAGGTCAAGGAAAAGGGTACTTACTTGCCTCTTAGGCTGTATGTGAGGGCAAAAGTCTTTGATGGTATAACTGTGAGTTTTTTGAAGAGCTCCCAGTTATAAAGATTAACATATTCTAACTTATGTCTGCCTTTCAGACATTCATTGCTTAAATTTTTGCAACTGTGAATATTGCCACTCTGAATATTTAGATTAGCCATCCCCTGCACATTTTATTACCTCCTTGGGACAGATTCTTTAAGTAAAGGTCAAAGTATAGGGCCATTTTTTGAAGTTTTCAACATATATTGCCAAATCACTTTTTTTAAAAAAAGTCGTGCCAGTGCCAATAGGTAGCATGGGAGTTGAGGTGCTGGACTTCCACATGGCTGATCACAGTTTGAGCTCCGGACCTGGTGGGCTTGCTTTCTCACCCTCCCTTCCCCTCTCCCTTTTTCTCTCTGGTGAATTAAAAAATAATAATGAAAATAAATAAAATAAAGTTGTGCCAGTTTATACTTCTACACATAAACTGAAATCCTCTTACATGAAATTTTAATTTTTTTATTATTTTTTTATTTTTCGAAAGTCATGAAATTTTTAAAGTACTCCCATATTTATTTTAACATCTGACATGTTGCTCTTGTCACACTTTGTGAATAATAGCAATACAGGTTAATTTCCCGTACCTTAATTTTTATGATAAAAAACATTTCATAAATAAATATAATTGAAATATCAATTAACTAACAGTTTTTATGTAAATATTATTGACCTTCATGGTAATAAAGTACATAAAACTACTAACTAGGTCCAGGGGAGGGGGACTTTTCTGTCACTTTTAATGAATCATAATTAAATTCACTTAAAATAATTATTTTGAAATTAACCTTCTTTCCCTCAAAACTCAGCACAAATCTTTTTTTTTGGAGAAGTTTTTGCTATAGGGCGCGTGCGCTCGCCAGAAAGAGAGAGACGGAGAGACAGAAAGCAAGAAATCACCCCCCAGGGGGGATGGCCACGCTGCAATCCCTTCTCCTCTCGGGATCTTGGGCACTCACGCACACGTGCCCAGCATGAGTTTTAAGCCACCGGGTCCGGGACTCGAACTGTGGTTGATTATGTGGGAATCCAGTGACATAGTCATTACGCTAGCTGCTGGTCCCATCTCAGCACAAATCTTAAGACCACAACAAAAGGACAGTTAAAGTTAATTATAGAACTCATTCACTTATGGTACCTTGCTGATATCTGAGAAAAATACGCTGGTCTGGGACATACAGAGATTCCACAATGTCAAACTTGAAAAGCTTAAGAGCAGCTTACATATGTTTTATTATTTGCATAAAATTTATTAGTTTGTATAAAATTTAAATGAGACGGGACCAGCAGATGTGGTAAAGGTTACGTTGCTGTACTCCCATGTAGTTGTCCGTGGTTCGAGTCCAGGATTTGGTGGCTTCACATTCACGCTGGGTCTGCATGCGTGTGTGTGCATAAGATCCCAGGAGGAGACTAGAGGAAAAGGAATTGCAGCATGGCCATGTCCCCTGAGGGGTGATTTCTTGCTTTCTGTTTCTCTGTCTCTCTCTGTCTCTCTGGTGAGTGCACATGCCCTAGAACAAAAATCTCTCTCTAAAAAAAAAATAATAAAATGAGCATGTTTTAGGCACTGTCATCGCTTATCTTACTAAAAATTATGCAAATTGTTTATTCCCAATTATGAAACTATACATCTTTGTCAAGTCAGCTAATGTATTTCCTTTTGTTTCTTTTTATTATTATCATTTTTTAATTTGCTACAGGACGCGTATGCCAGCCTGGGAATGAGAGAGAGGGGCAGAGTGAAAGCCAGAGTGATAGAGAGAGGGAAAGTGAGAAAGCAACCCACCTGGTCCAAGACTCAAACCATGGTCAGACATGTGCTCATAAAGAATTAGAAACTAGATAAATAGAGAGGATAGTAAGCAAAGTTTGCTAGCAAGGAAGCAAAGTTTGCAGCTGAGTGGAAGGAGATCCAGATGGGTAGCCAAAGAGGAACTTGAGGTAAGGGGTTTTATCTAATCAGTGGTCTGGCTTTCCCTTCTCCATCCTCCTCTCGGGATTTTGGGCATGCTTACAATTGTGTCCGGCGTGAGTTTCAAGCCACCAGGTCCAGGACTCACACCATGTTTGGCCACATGGGAGTCCAACGCCTTAACCACTATGCCACCTGCTGGCCCCACATTCTGTATTTCTTGTTAGAATATAGTTACTAAATAGAAATTGTTGCTCAGTTGCTTTGAGTACAGATGCAGCCAGCTTTTGGCTATGAAAACAGGCAGTGTAACTCCATCCTGGGCCTTTATGCAGTCTGTGTGCTCAGTATCCCTATCTCCTGCCTTACCAGCAAGGAGTCATACATTCTTTAGAGACATGTAAAAGGGGTGTATATTGTATATTAACCAGACCATAATGAAAAAGCAGAGAATTCATTTAAAAGAAAAAGATAGTGACTTCCTATCTACCTGTAAGCGAGATCTAACTTCTCTCTCAAAAGTACCCTCCAAGGGGGGATGACCACTCCCCAATCCCTTCTCTGTTTCCCTCTCAAGATTTTGGACAAGGGACCAGCAGTTAGTGTAATGGCTATGTCGCAGGACTCCCATGTAGTCAACCGCAGTTTGCATACCGGACCATAACCACCCCGGTGGCTTAAAACTCACACCGGGCACGTGTGCATGCGTGCCCAAGATCCCAAAAGGAGAATGGAGGAGAAGGGATGGCGGCACGGCCATCATTTCTCGCTTTCTGTCTCACTGTTTCTCTCTGTTTGTCTGGCAAGCGCATGTGCCCTATAGCAAAAACCTCTCCAAAAAAAAAAAAATGATTTTGGACACACACGCATATGCATCCAGTTTGTTTTCCAAGCCACCGGATCTGGTACTTGTACCGTGCAGTCAACCATGTGAGATCCAGCTACCGTAAGCGCCAAGCCACCGGCTGGCCCTATATTTCCTTTTTTATCTTTTTATAAGTTTCTTTCCTTTCATGTGGGAGGGAGTGGAAGACTGAGAAAGTCAGGCACCTCTACAGGGTCTCGTGACACCATCTTCTTGTGACTTCCCGTTCAGCCAGGGTCTCGGGCCTACGTGCCTGATGTATACAGGTCAGCCTGGGAACTGAACCCAGGTTTCCCATATGGATCCAGTACGTTGGAGTGAGACCCTGCTTCTGCTGCACCACATGGCTAGCTGGGCTAATGTATTTCTTCGTATGTGATAGCATTGCAGAAGATAGTTTATTAAAGACAGATAAGATCTGGGTCCTGGTGTCAAGGAGTTCCGAATCTAGCAGGTATATTACCACTAAATTAAATACATTGGATGAATTACGATGACATCTGGAAAGAGAGAAGCGATGCTTCCCTTCAGAATATTGAGAACCTTCTTCCTAGACTGGGAAAGATATTCTGCAATTTCAGTAAGATTTTTAACAGGTGGAATGAGGAATATTCCTGACATAAGTAATAGCCTACAAAGATAGATGCATTTAAAGAACAATGTAATTTACACATGGACCATATTTCACTGCCAAAAAGAGCACAGGCATGTCTCGAGACTTGTCTTTTGAAAGAAACAAACTGGCCAGCAGATGGCATAGAGGCTAAGGTGGCTGGATCCCACATGGCTGACTGCAGGGTTCGAGTCCTAGACCCATTAGCTTGAAAAACATGACAAGCACGTGTGCATTATGTGCCCAAAGCCCTGAGAGAAGTTATGGAGGAGAAGAGATCATAGCAGGCCCATACCTCATGGTAGGTGCTTTCTTAGACCCCCTGCCCCCATCTTTATTTCTGTCAAATGCAACCCCTGTAATAAAATTATAAAAGAAGAAGAAATAACATTTATTTTATCCTTTCAATGTATCTTAGATAGCAGAAGAGAAGAACCATCCTTACTTTTGGTTTTAAAATGGGGAGGAGAATTAACCCCTGCAGGCAGGGTCCAGGCTGAAGAACTTGGACGCGCTTTCAGGTGTATGTATCCTGGAGGTCAAGGTAAATTTGGAGTTTCTTTAATTTGATTAAATTTGTACATCTTATTTCCCAGTGTTTACCTACTTTGTGATGTAATTAAATATTTATAGAAAGACAATGAGATAAAAATATAGCTTAAGTGATTGGAGGATTTATTTTCAGGAGATTATGCAGGATTTCCTGGTTGTGGTTTGCTTAGATTACATAGCACCTACCGACACGACCTCAAAATATATGCCTCTGACGAGGGACGAGTCCAGATGACCGCAGCGGCCTTTGCAAAGGTATAAGTAAAGGCTTTTAAGAATTACTAGAATTTTCACCTGATACTGAATTTAAAAAGCAGCATTTAAAAATTCCAAATTTCGAACTTCCACCAAAAGCCCTCAAATAGCAACGATGACTTATATTATTAGTAGAGTTTACTTATTATAAATAGCTTATACCCTATGAAATTCTGGATGTAGCAAAACAATTATATTTTCTGTTACTTTGCGTATTAATTTAAAAATCTGTGTTGGCTTTATTTAATATGTTTAGGGCCTATTAGCTCTAGAAGGAGAGCTTACGCCCATTCTTGTTCAGATGGTGAAAAGTGCAAATATGAATGGTCTTTTGGATAGTGACAGTGACTCTCTGAGTAGCTGTCAGCAACGTGTGAAGGCAAGGCTTCATGAAATACTTCAGAAAGACAGAGATTTTACTGCTGAAGATTATGAAAAGGTGAGTCTCAGTACATGCTTTTATGTGGTAAAAATACGCACACACAGAAAAGTGCATAAAACATAAACGTCAAGCTTCTTGTATTGTAAAGCCAATAATCATCTCATCCAGGTAGAAAACTAGAACATGGGAACAACTCTGGCCCCTGTATGCAGCTTTCCAATTGTAGCCCTTTTCTTAACTCTTAGAAATGACTATTATTCTGACTTAAAAAAAAAAAAAAGTGCTTTTTTGTCTGTTTGTTTTAAGTAGGCAGGTGCTGGAAAAGGGAGAGAGACAGAGGTACATATTTTTGACAGGGTCTCACCATGTCATTGATCCTCCTGCTCCAGATTCTCAGTTAAGTCAGAGTACAGGTGCATGCCACTAGGCCTGGTATAACAAAGTTAGTTTCAGAAATAAGCCCAGGACTTCTGTGTAGCCCCAGCACCATGGAGTGGCTCTACACCCTTCACACTGCCACAGCAAGGCCTATTCTGATTTAGATGTCTTTTTTTATGAAGTCTTAAGACTCTTTCTGCTAGCTTATGTTTTTTTTATTGAGTGGTACAAGTTCCTTACATATTTAATATGAGTTGTTATGTATTCTAGATACTACCACCTGCCCTGAGTCATGATGTCTTTTGATGAGCACTTCTTATTTGTAATGAATGCCAAGTTTAATTTTTTTAATTATATTTATTCATTCATTTGTTTTTTAATTGGATCAGAGAGAGACAGAGGGTGAGAGTGAGAGAGAGAGAGAGAAAGTGAGAAAGTAAGCCACCAGATTCAGGACTTGAACCCTGGTTGGCCATGTGGGAGTGTCCAGCGCCCTAACCACCATGCCACATGCTGACCCCAATTTTTTTTTTTTTTTAATTTGCTATAGAGCATATGTGCTTGCCAGAGAGACAGAGAGAGAGAGAGAGAGAATGAGAAACCACCCCCCAGGGAAGATGGCCACACTACAGTATCCCTTCTTTTCATTCTCATCTCAAGATTTTGGGCACACATGCCCAGCATGCTTTTTAAGCCACTGGTCTGGGAATCAGACCATGCAGTTGGTCATTGAGATCCAGCAACCTTGACCACCACACTACCAACTGGCCCTAGTACATTTTAATACGTTGTTTAAAGTATCTTTTTTTAACCAGAGGGCCTGAGATATTGCTTAATATGATCTTCTGTGGGCTTTACTGTTTTGCCCTTCATGTATACCTGTAATCTGGATAAAATCTATTTTTGTGTCTGCTGTTAAGTAAGGATGTCAGATTATTTACCTCCCCTGACCCCGTTTATGATGTGTGTAAATGCAGCACAGACCGAAAAGACTGCCTTTGTCCCACTGCTGCGTAAGACCATCTTTATCACATACGTATGCTCTGTCTCTAAACTCTGTATTCTCTTGTTGGTCAGTGGCAAGGAGCACGATCTTTTAGGTCCCACATAGATCCAGTTTCATGTTTCTTGTAATTTCTTGCATTTCCATGTAAATATTAAAATAAGCTGGGTATAAAGAGTATTTTATAAAATACTGCTGGAATTTTTCATTGGGTTGCATCAAGGTTGTAGTTTTAAAAAAAGATTTATTTATTTAATTTTTATTTAATTTTTTTGGAGAGAGATTTTTGCTATAGGGCACATGTACTTGTTGGAGAGACAGAGACATAAAGTGAGAAACCACCTCCCAGAGGGATGGCCATGCTGCAGTCTTTTCTCTTCCATTCTTCTCTCGGGATGTTGGACACACATGCACACGTCTGACGTGAGTTTGAAGCCACTGGGTCTAGAACTTGAGTTGCGGTTGGCCCTTTAAGAGTCCAGTGATGTAGCTGCTATGCCATCTGCTGGCACCATTATTATTACTTTAAAATTTGCCATAGGGCATATGTACTCACTAGAGAGAGACAGAGAGAGAGAAAGAAAGAAAATGAGAAATGAGAAAGAAGCTGCCAGGTCCAGGGCTCAAACCATGGTTGACCATGAGGGAATCCAGTCCGTAATCACCTTGCCACCTGCTGGTCCCCAGAACCACACTTTTTAATCTAGCCTTAAAATCCATTAACATAATGTACTTCATTTCTTTACATATTCTTTAATATGTCTCAGTACTGTTTTATGATTTTCTCTATAGAGGTCTTTCATGTTTTTGTTAGATGTAGGCTAAGGGAATTGGTTTTTTTAATGGAATTTATAATTGGAATGTCCTTAAAATTTTGCTTCTTAATTGTTGGTCTATGGAAGCATATTAATTTTTTAATACTGACATTATATACATCAATATGATTTAACTCATTAATTTTAATAATTTATTTAGTTTCTTTGATTCTTTGAATGTCTATCAGTAGGTTGTTTTCTTTCTGATCTTTTTGAATTCTTTTCCTTACCTCACTTCAGTAGCAAGGGTCCTCAAAACAATATTATTTGGAATAGATTTCTTAATCATGTTCTCAAAGGGAAATCATTTTTTTAACAATTAATTTAATTTATTGTTGTTATTTTTAAATTTTGCTATAGGGCACGTTCACGAGAGAGAGAGAGAGAGAAGAAAAGTGAGAAAGCAAGGCTCCAGATCTGGGACTCAAAACATGTGTGAGTCCGGTGCTCAACTGCCACACCACCTGCTGACCCCCAAGAGAGAGCTTTTGACACTTGTACATGAAGTGTGAAATAATTTTACAGATTTTTCTTTTTACAGCTACCCTTTATTAAAATAAGAAAATTCCTTTCCTTATTTTACTAAGAATTTTTATCATGAAAAATTATTGTATTTTCTCTTATTTTCTTTCATCTGTTACATCATAGGATTTTTTAAAAGCTTATTTATTTCATGCCAGCAGGTGATGTGGTAGTTAAGATACTACATCCCACATAGCTGACTGGGATTCCAGTCCTGAATCTAGCAGCTTAAAAAATACACCAGGCATGCATGTGTGTGTGTGTGTGTGTGTGTGTGTATATGCACCCAAAATCTCAAGAGGAGGATGGGGAAGAAGGGATTTTGGTGTGGCCATCCCCATGGGATGATTTTTCACTTTCTCTCTGTCTCTCTGGTGAACGCAGAGAGGAGAACCTTCCTCCTCTGTTTTTCTCAATATTGGGTATGTGAGCACACAGTGCCTGGTGTAATTTTGAAACCACTGGGTCCAAGACCTGCAGTTGCCCTTGGGGGAGTCCAGCACCTTAACTGCTTACACCTTCCACTAGCCTCACTAATGTTTTGATTTGGAGCATGTTGCCAACTTCAATTAAGTGCTTCATCTGGAAAAAGGTGATGATAAAAATAGAGACTTAGGGTTATGTCAAATGGTTAGAACCATATTTGCACATATTAAGCAAAAAATTGTCATCAGATCTCATCGAGTTCAATACTTCTGCTAAATTTTCTGTATGGATAATCTAATGATAGATAAGGCTTAGTTTTTTTTTTTTGTTTTTTTAACATAAGATTCTCAGCGTTTTACTTCTTCCTTAATTTTACGGATCATCTTAAATTGCAGTATGGAATAATTCTGTAGATACTAGAAATTTTTGTACATTGTTTTCTTAGATGACTAGGCATAACTTGACATAAAGTATGGTCTTTACTCATTTGTAGCTTACTCCGTCTGGAAGCATTTCTCTCATTAAATCAATGCATTTCATTAAAAATCCTGTGAAGACCTGTGACAAAGTTTATTCCTTGATCCAAAGTTTGACCTCTCAAATCAGACATCGAATGGAAGATCCCAAATCATCAGGTAAATATGCTTTTCTTAGAGCATGAAGAAAAGCTACTACACAGTATAAGTATTTAAAAATGAGACACACAAACCTTATTTTAAAAAAATCAAGTCTCTTTTGAGGTCTAGATACAGTACGAATTACATACACCCAAAAAGAATAGTAACTAAATTACTTTTATGCATGATAGAAACAATAAAAGATTCTCATAGGATTATTTAATTATATAACATTCTCATATAATTGAGCAGTGAGTAAGCAGCACCGTAAGAAGGAACAGGCAATAAGGTGATTGATGTGCATTCTGGCTCTAAGTCTGGTGTCTTCGTCAGTAATTGCATTGACGACAGAAATCTGAAACAGATTCATAAGAGCAGAGGTTCATGAAGCTCAGTTTGGAGGCCGAAGTCTAGGAGCGGACTCCAGGCTACAGAATGGTAGAGGGCAGGCTCTTGTGCAGAGTGGCTGTCCATGTCTCTGCCTAGTCTAGTCTCCTTCCCCCTCTTGTAAACACATCCTAACACTGTTATAGAGGGCTTGCCTTAGTGACTCTAGCACGCCAAGGACCCTACCCCAGGACACCACAAAAGGATTACATTTTCACTTAATACCTTTACAACACAACTGAATCCCAACACATGAATTTGGGGGACATCTAAACTATAGCATTCTGCCTTAGGTCCCTAAAGTCACTTACTTCTCCATATAAAATTATTCCAATAGCTCCAAAGTCTCAACTTGTCCCAGCACTAACTAAAAATTCATGTTCAAAGCTTCAATCTGAGCTTCAGGTAAATGCCTTCCAGCTATGAATCTGTAAATTCAGTACAAATTGTATGTTCCCCAAAATACAACGGTAAAAGAGGTGTGGAGTAGATATGTTCATTCCAGAAGATGAAAGGAATAACAAGTCCCAAGTAAATTTGAAATCCATTCAGTCTTGAAACTCTGTTTGCCGAATCCTGGAATCACTGAAGGGATTGGATCCCCAGAGCTTCAGGCAGCCTTGTCTCCCTTGCTTACTGGTCGTAGTCCATGCATCAGCTCTCTCTAGCTGGAGTCTCGTACCATGTGATACCTTCAGGCTGACGCTGCAGGCTGGTAGCTCTTCTGTTCTGGGGTCTCGAGGATAATACTCTTCTTGTGGCTGCAGAAGGCCTGGCCCTACTGAAGCCTCTCTCTTACGACTGTCCCAGTGGCAGGTCCCTGGGTAAGCTCCCAGGCTCTTCAGTGTTTCTTTTGAAATCTAGAGCCTTCCCTACACTTTTGAAATCTAGAGCCTGCCCTACACCACAGCTCTTGCATTCTGGGAGCCTGCAGAATTACACACATGCGCACATCACCAGCATCTGCTGCTCACGTTTTCTGGAGCAGAGGACAAAGTTGCAGCCATAATGGCAGATCAAGCTCCACCCTGTGTCTAAGGAATGCTTTACTGGGATGTAGGGAACAGGGTCCCCAGGCAGCTCTCAGCAGGGAACCCACCCCAGGCCTGTCCCCTGAAACCATTTCACTCCTGGGTCACTGAACCTGTGATGAGAGTGAGTTCAAAGATCTAAGATCTCAGGGCCTTTCTCATTTTTCTGGCAGTTTTTATTGGGGACATTTCTTTTTTGTTTGTTTGTTTTGAGAGTTTTTTTTTTTGCTATAGGGCATGTGCGCTCACCAGAAAGAGAAAGAGAGAGACAGAGAGACAGAAAGTGAGAAATCATCCCCCAAGGGAGATGCTCACACCGCAATCCCTTCTCCTCCATTCTCCTCTCGGGATCTTGGGTACGCACACACACGCGCCCGGTGAATTTAAGCCACTGGGTCTGGGACTCGAACTGTGGTCGACCACATGGGAGTCCAGCAACATAGCCATTACGCTAACTGCTGGTCCCTCACTGGGGACATTTCTATCTGTGGCAGTAATCTCTTCAGCAACCAGTTTCTCAGCCACACCCTTCTCTGCCAAACATGCTTTTTCATTCTTTGCCATGTAGCCAACCTGTGAACCTTGCATCCATTCTACTTCCCTTTGTTATAAGTCTGTCCCTTAGTAATTTGTTTTTGTTTGCATCTTAACTATGTGTAGCTGGAAGTAAGCTCACATACGTTTTATATTTTTGCCTTGAAATTTCATCTACAGATCATCTTTCTTAAATTCAACATTCAGTAAAGCCAAATTCTTTGCTATGGTGTGATACGAATGACCTTTTCTCCAGTTTCCTATAGATAGTCCTCATTTTCCTCTGAACCTCCTCAGAACAGCTTTTGCTGTCACTACTTCTTTTAGTCTTCTGGTCACCACCATTTAACCAATCCCAAAAAAGTTCCGCTTTATTTCTAAACTATTCTAACCACTTGCTGGAATCAGGCTTCTGCTAGCCTTCTCCAAGTTCTTTTAAACCTTATTACCTAGTTCCAAAGCCACTTTCCCATTTTCAGTTGTCTGCAACAATGTAGTCCTACTTGCTGTGCCAGTTTCTGTCTTAGTCTGTAATTTTGTTGTCAAACAGGAATGTCTAAAACCAAGAGACTTTTAAGAATAGAGTTTCATTCAGTTCACGGTTTGGAGCCCAATTGGAGGCTATAACATGGTGCCAGGCAGGCTGTTGAGCAGAGCGGTCCAGTTTTCTGCCTGTTTTGCTTTCCTTTTCACTGTTACAAGCCCACCAGAACTTAGTCATAGGGGCCCTACCTAGTGATCTTGTTAGACCCAAAGGCTCAATCTTGGAACACTGTAATGGAATTGAGTTTTCACTTACTGCCTTTCTAGTCCAGCCAAGTCCCAACACACGAAGTTTTGGGGGACATCCAAACTACAGCAGCTAGCTTGGTTAATAACTTGGACAAGTTAGGCATCCTGGATTTTTTATTGGTAAAAATGGTTCATTTGAATTCTTTAATTTCCAAGGTTACTTTCTATTACAAATTGTCTGAGTTCTATAGTTATGTGAATCTAATAAAAATAACTAAGATTCAGAATTGAAAATGTGTTACCTTAGAAGAGTTTTGTTGCCATTGTTATTCTTTTTCTTATTATTAAAGTGTAATATATGGAAATATGTTACATTTCCAAACCAAAGTTTACAATCTAAGTCTATAAAATACTTAGTCACTCATAGAATGTACATGTATTGTAATATTTTCTAGCTTCTTAACAATTTTTATCTTTGACATTGAGAAGTTTCTAGTTATCAATATTTTAATATATTCTTAATCATAATTTTAAGTTGACTATATCGAAAATGCTTTATTTTTTTAGATATTCAGCTTTACCATAGCGAAACATTGGAGCTTATGCTGCGAAGATGGTCCAAGTTGGAGAAAGACTTTAAAACAAAGAATGGAAGATACGATATAAGTAAAATCCCTGACATATATGACTGTATAAAATATGATGTTCAGCACAATGGCTCCTTGAAATTAGAAAACACAATGGAATTATACAGGCTTTCGAAGGCATTGGCAGATATTGTTATCCCTCAGGTAAAAGATTTGATTCTTAAGCATCCATTTTATTGTAGTAGTGTATAGATAATTTTAAAGTGTCTATTGGTGGATACAGAATAGTTGGTTGTCATTTTCTTATAAAACCTATACCTTTAAAAAGGAAATTGTCATTATGAGTTTTTACTTTAAGGGTTTATTGCTTATAATAGTAATAATATTTGATTGTCTAATAGTTTATAGTGACTAGTTTTTAATAGTGACTAGATTTTATTTATTAGAGAAGTTTTAGGTTCATAGCAAAGTTGCACAGACAGTACAGAGAGTTCTTGTTTACTCCATGCCCTAACGTCTGCATATTTCCACCCCCTTCCCCAACCCCACCCAGTTATGACATCCCCCACCACAGTAGTGCATTTGTTACAACTGGCAAACCCACAGTGACGTATTATCACCCAGAGTGTTGTTTACATTAGGGTTCACTCTTGGCGTGGCACATTCTATGTCCTGACAAATTTATAGTGACCTTATCCATAACATACGAATCTCACCCTAATAATGTAGTGACTTTTTTAAATTAAAAAATTAATACTCTCAAGAATAATATGCTAACAAAACAACTGAAAACAGTATGACAGAAATCATTTAACAAGTATTAGACATATATTATGCACTTACTGATTCTATGCTATGAAAATGTAAGGGAATGAAAGAGAAGCACAGTTGTAACCCTATATAATAATTTCTGTGGGGGCCAGTGGGAGATGCAGGGGTAAAATGTGATGCTCCTTGAGTCTGACAAACATGGAGAAGTTCTATGTTCACCTCCAGAAACTTCCCTAAGTATGCCGGCACTCCTGACCTAGGACTGGCTGAAGTTAGGTCTGGCTCATGGCATGAAGACCCTGCTGGGAGTGTTGTCTCTTTGTCTCTTTTTTTCTCTCTCTCTCTTCTATCGGTTTAGCTCGTGGAAGAAATAAATGAATAAACTTAAATCTTGCAAATCTTTTTACACTTTGTAAAAGTACTTGAAAATAATGTTTAAGGTTCAGGTTGTGAGTAGTGATTATTTTGGGAGACACTTGTTTTTTTATTAAAGAATAATAAAAATAAAAGTGTAGTCACAATTTGTTTTAATAATTATTTTATTTAACTTTATTTATTATTATTATTTCCTAGTTTGACCAGAGAAAGAGAGAGAGGGAAAGTGAAAAAGCGAGCCACCAGGTCCAGGACTCAAACTGCTGTCAGCCATGTGGGAGTCCAGCACCTTTAACCACCACATCATCTGGCCTCGAGTGTAACTATGTAACTGAAATGCAGTTAAGCAGAGAATCAGACTGATAATAAAAAGTCAAGTGATAAAGTATGATGAGATAAAGAAAATGGTAGAAGAAAAGTACTCTAGGTGCCATTTTGGGATATGCCATTAATTTTTTAAACTCAGTTCAGAAAAAACTACAGACTGAAAAACTAGGAATTCTGTCAGTGAATAACTTACAGGTATTTATGTTAAAGATGAGCTAATTCTTCATTTTGAAGGAGGACTATATATTATTTGATCAGGCATAATATATAGACAGTTTAGATAGTTTTATGAGTATTGTACGAATCAGCAACTTGAAAATTTGAATTCATTTTTTTTAAAGAATTTTAATTGTATTTGTTATTATTATTACTATTATTATTTAATTTGACCAGAGAGAGACAGAGAAAGACAGGAAGGCAAAGTGAGAAAGCAAGCTGCCAGGTCCAGGACTTGAACTGTGGTCAGCCATGTGGGAGTCCAGCACTCCAACCACTGTGTCACCTGCCAGTCCTGTGAATTCATTTTAAAAGAGGATAAAAATATTTCAGACTTAAGTCTTTGGTAATTCTTTGGTAATTACTTTAAGAGATGTGGACTTAGAGAGGGGGAGAATGAGAGAAAGCACCCCTTGGGGGAATGACTATGTTACAATTTCTTCTCCATTCTCTTCTCAGAATTTTGCACATGTGTGTTCAGGATGTTTTTCAAACTGCTGGTTCAGGGACTTGAACTCCACAATTGGCCACATGGGATCCAGCCACCTTAACCACCATGCCTTCTAGCAGGCCCCCTCTTCTACTTCTTTACATGCATTGTTACATTTTTTAATCTCTAACTGTTTGGGATTTTGTTTCTGTCTTTTTGTCCTAGGATGCATGTACTTGCCAGACAGTGAAAGGGAAAGTAAGAAATTACCCCCCAAAAAGATGGCCACACCACAGTCCCTTCTCATTCTCTTCCTGAGATTTGGGCCATGCACACTACATGCCCCAGGAGTGATTTTTTTTTTTTTTCAAGTCACCAGGTCCAGGACTTGAACCACCATCAACCATGTGACCATGTGGGAGTTCAGCACGTTAACCACTATAGCACCTGCTGGCCTCAAATCTGTAACTTTTTAATTTAGACTATTTATACAAATGTTTCTTCACATTTTGCTAAGAAGTTTAAAAATTCTCCTGTGATTGTTTAATTTCAACATTTTCCTTTTCTTTACACATACATCCATAATTCCATATCCATCCTTTTTGCATATTCACTTTACAATCATCTGTATTGGCAAGGTTATTTACCAGTTTAAGAAAATAAGCTCTAGCTTAAGTTAAAGGACCTGAAGGAGTTTTTTTCGTAGGTCTTCCATCTGTAATATCAGATCTGTGGACTATTCTGATGCTTTGCCATGTGCATCTGGACCTCTCTGGTAGCAGGACATAGCCTCTAAGTTGAGGTGTTCAGAATGAACTTGGAGACAGCAAGGATGCATGTTTGTTCCTTGTTCGCTGTTCTTTCCCTCTGCTTCCAGTTTCTGTAATCTATCTTTCTCTTCCTCTTCCTGTATACACATACCACACATTTTGTTTTTTTCATGTAAGATCATTTTCTTTTTTTTAATTTATTTCTTCCTAAAGAGAGAGACAGACCCCTTCCTCCTGATCCTTGTGCCATGGTTTGCTCCCTGTCTCAGCTAGCCTGGATCACAGGCAGGTGCACACCTGGCATTTTCAGGGACACTCTGGGACTCCAGCCCAGGACTTTTCCCATGTGAGTCCAACTGCATCACCACTGCACCACCACCTGGCCCTGTTAAGATCATTTTCTAATAGACTTCTTTGAACTGTAATGTTATTGTTTTCTTGACATAATTCCTTATAAATATAACTTACAGTGACTGTACAGCACTAAATTTGGTATTTCATGGAATCTTTTCTCACCACTCGTTAAAACTTTAAGTGTGTTACCCAAAGGATTTAAAGAATGACATTTGGATAGACAAAAAAATTTCACAGTTTCGTATTTCCTTGCATAGGTTTATTGCCTGTTTCTTCTGGGTTTATCATTTGTGGCTTTAATTCCTGTGTTTTTATTTTTTTTTTAAGGTTGCTTTACATTTAAAATCTTTTGCTCAAGTGGAATACTGTTCATGAAGATTGCATTCATTTCTTTATCCTTCAGAAACTACTTGCTTTTTCAGTTCTGTGACAGTCCTTCCAACTAGGTGTAACATAATAGTTTGGAAATAATGTATATTCAATTGCAAAAAAATAAAAAAGCCTGGGACTTATCTCATGTTTAGGAGAGGCTTAAAAATAGATTTCTCACTAGACTTAACTCTGGAGTGCAAATGTTAGAGCTTTTAGTCATTGAACTTCTTTTCCAATATCATGTATTTTTTTGCCCAGGAATACGGTATAACGAAAGCTGAAAAACTGGAGATTGCCAAAGGCTATTGTACCCCTTTAGTCAGAAAAATTCGCTCCGACCTTCAGAGGACACAAGATGATGACACTGTAAATAAACTCCACCCTGTGTAAGAAGCCACTGTTTATTTTAGTCTATAGGCATCTATTTTTGTATGCTTCAAATCAAAAAAATGTTTCTTTTTTTTTTTTGAGAGGTTTTTGCTATAGGGTGCTCACCAGAAAGACAGACAGAGACAGAGAGACAGAAAGCGAGAAATCACCCCCCCAAGGGGGGATGGCCATGCCGCAGTCCCTTCTCCTCCATTCTTCTCTCGGGATCTTGGGCATGCGCGCACACGTGCCCGGCGTGAGTTTAAGCCTACGGGTCTGGGCTCAAACCGCAGTCGACCACATAGGAGTCCAGCGACATAGCCATTAATCTAACTGCTGGTCCCTTCTGATTTTTCTTATGAAGAAATTGAGACTTTATCACTTAATATACTATGGAAAGATTACCTAGGTGTTCCTATAAGGTAACTTCTTTTTTTTTTTTGAGAGGTTTTTGCTATAGGGCATGTGCACTCACCAGACAGAGAGAGAGAGACAGAATGCGAGAAATCACCCCCCAGGGGGATGGCCATGCCGCAATCCGTTCTCCTCTTGGGATCTTGGGCATGCACGCACACACGCCTGCCATGAGTTTTAAGCCATATTACCTAGGTGTTCCTATAAGGTAACTTCTTTTTTTTTTTTGAGAGGTTTTTGCTATAGGGCATGTGCACTCACCAGACAGAGAGAGAGAGACAGAATGCGAGAAATCACCCCCCAGGGGGATGGCCATGCCGCAATCCGTTCTCCTCTTGGGATCTTGGGAATGCACGCACACGCGCCTGCCATGAGTTTTAAGCCAGAGGGTCGAGCACGCAAACCGCGGTCGACTACATGGGAGTCCAGAGACAGCCATTACACTAACTGCTGGTCACCCTATAAGGTAACTTCTAACGGTGGTGTTTTGGGCTCTAATTTGGAAAGAGCTGAGGTGAATGGGGAAAGGGGGTATGTGTCATCCATCATTTATGTGGGATCATCATTGTGTACCCCACTGAGCAGCATTAATATCTGTGAGCATCTACCAGCCTAGGTGTCTCTCATTGTAATAGACAATCTCAAATGACCTATTTATGGTGAATTTGACTAATGTTATGTCTGTTCTCTTTTGGCTAATCTTAAGAGTCCTGGTTAGCTCCAGTTGGCTTCATATTCGAAAAATGTCTTAGATAGCTACTCATTTGTGCTCAGAAGAGTGATAGGTTTACTTACTGTGATCTTCTAGTGTTAGTAAGATTAAATTTTTTTTAATTCAATACTTAATATATTTTTTGACTATTTATTTTAATACTGTCTACTTCTAACTTCAGGTATTCCAGAGGTGTTCTGTCTCCTGAGCGTCATGTCCGTACTAGATTATATTTTACCAGTGAAAGTCATGTACATTCTTTACTGTCTATTCTCCGCTATGGTGCCTTATGCGATGTAAGTAGAAACGTTACTCCATTCCACCTAACAAATGTGTTCTTTTGAACTTATACTCTAATCATTAACTGCTGTTTTTACAGTAAAATTTTAATAGTTCATTAGTACTATTTATGATGTACCATTTTTTTCTAACATCTGCCACATAACCAAGCATTTTGCAAGATTTGAGGTTAAGACATATTCTTTTCCCTTCAGAGAAGATCTGTTTAAGCAAACGATAATATAAAGTGTTTTATCAGTTGGTAATGTTACAGACGGGTAGCAGTGGGCTAGAGAGACTGATGAGTTTGAGTCATTTAGGATTCAGAACTGGTAGGACTTGGTGTGTGATTAAACATTCCATATTCATGACTCTTACCTACTGTTATATAAAGACATCCTCAGATTGGTGACTTAAAACATTCATAATCATTTTTTTTTTAATCTCACAGTTCAGATTCTGGGATCGGTTAGGCAGATTAATATAGAGTCTGTCATGAGGTTACAGTCAGACAGTGGCTAGAACCCAAATTTCACAAGTTTTCTCTCATTTTTAGTGCTTGTGTTGGCAGTCATCTGGGACTGCTTCTGGGGTTATTGACCAGAGCATCAACGTCTGACCTCTTCTTGAGCTTCCTCAGAATAATGCAGCTGGGTTTTAAAATTGAGCTTCGTAAGATGGGAAGGTGCAAGTGCACGACATTTTAATGCTCTGACTTCGGAAGTTAGACAGCGTCACTGCCACTGAGCTGTGTGGTTTGAGGTAGTCCCAGAGGTCCAATCTAGGTTCAGAGGTAGGGAAATAACTCGTTTTACTGGGATGGTGGAATACCCTATCACACTTTAAGAAGCATGTATAGGATTAAATAGATATGGCAGTCCCTTTTAGAAAATGCAGTCTGCCATTTACACTCATGGTCACAATAATTCATATTTCCCTCATATACATAATTCCCTTAACTTCCCCCAATGTCACCTCCTTTAGTCTTCTCCTATTATAGAATAAACTTGAGTTCCTGATCTCATCATGTAGATCGGCCATCTACAAACTAAAAAAAAAATAAGAATTTTTTTATTGTATGTGTATGTAGTAGTATATATATCTGTGCATATCGACATATAATGTGATCTTTAAGAGAAAATTAATTTTGTTCTCATAAAGGATAGCAAGATGTATAATAATAATAATAATAATAATAATAATAATGGGTATGAGCCTTGTTTCCTAATCTTATTGCAGGGCCTTGAGAATTATCATCAAAGTTACCCTCAGGCTATTTCATAATTCAGTTCCCATCAAAATTTCAAATTCATATGTCCTTCTTTTGTTTTGATTTGGTTTCTTTTTTGTTTTACAAAGGAGCAGCAAAGTTATATCCTCGCATGTATATATGGATACATAGAAGGTTTTTTAATTATTTATTTATTTTATTAATCATTATTATTATTTTAAGTTTTCTATAGGGCACATATGCTCACCAGAGGGAGACACAGAAAGAGAGAAGAAAAGTGAGAAAGCAAGCCGCCAGGTCTGAGGCTTGAACCACGGTCATCCACGTGGGAGGCCAGTCGCCTGCTGGCCCCATATTACTAGAGTTTTTTTATTTTTTAAATAACGGTTTTAGCCTTAGGGCATGTACGTAGCAGGAGAAAAGTGACTGACAGAGTAAGAGGAAAAGTGAGAAATCACCTCCCCCCAGGGGGTGGCCACACCACAATTTCTTCTTTTCCATTCTCTACCTGGGACCTTGGGCACACACGCACGTGCTCCCATTATGATTTTCAAGCCACTGAGTCCGAGACTTGAACTGTGGTTTGCCATGGCAGAGTCCAGCGATGTAACCACTACATCTGCTGTTCCTGTATTAGTGAGGCTTTAATAAAATGAAACAAACAAAAAGACCCTCAGTTATTAAGGCAAGAACATGTATATCCAGTGGTAGTGATGGAATTGTGAGAGGAGAAATACATCTCTAACATGGTCCTATTTTTGTCCCTCTTGCACATGTAATAAAAAAAAAAAAGGTAGAAGGGACCAGCAGTTAGCTTAATGGCTATGTCGCTGGACTCCCATGTAGTTGACCGTGGTTCGAGTCCTGGACCCGGTGGCTTAAACTCACGTCAGGGGCATGTGTGTGTGTGCCCAGGATCCCCAGAGGAGAATGGAGGAGAAGGGATTGCGGGATGGCCATCTCCCCTGGGGGGGCGATTTCTCGCTTTCTGTCTCTCTGTCTCTCTCTGTCTTTTTGGCAAGCGCACGTGCCCTATAGCAAAAACTTCTCCCAAAAAAAAGAAAAAGAGAGGAAAAAAAGGTAGAAAAAACATAAGAGCCAGTTGAAAGCCTGTAGTGCAGTATAGTAGGGAGTGATGGATGAAGTGAAAGCAGATAAAGTCGGAGATCCAGGGCTTGTGTTAAAGGCGATTAGGAAGCCACTGAAAGGTTTTAAGCAGGGATGTGAGTGGCTTTGGTTGCCGTGTGGGTTAATAAGTGAGAGCAGATGGAAGGAAGCCAGTTAAGAAATGATTATAGTGGTCTTATTAAAGGTAATTTAGTTTGTACTAGGGTGGTGGCAGTGGAGCTAATGCTTGTTAGGCATCTATTGAATTCAGGATGCATTTTTTAAAATAAAACCTGAACAACTCCATTTATTTATCTATACTAAAAACATACTCACCACATTTTCTAAATATTTGTTTACCTAGTAAAAATTTTCAGTATTTAATTTAAACTCATCATTTGCAATAATTTGCATCTAGTGAACGGGATCCAATAATGCTAGGCTCATTTATTTTCTCTTAACAATTAAAAAAGAATCCTTGGGATCAGCAGACAGCATAATGGTTATGTTGCTGGACTCCCATGTAGTCAACCATGGTTCAAGTTCCAGACCCAGTGGCTTCATGCAAGGCACTTGTGTGTGCATGCTTAAAATCCTGAGAGGAGAAGGGAGAAGAAAGGATTACGGTGTGGCCCCTCCTCCTGGGGAGTGATGTCTTGCTTTCTGTCTTTCTGTCTCTCTGGTGAAGCACATACCCGAAAGACAAGAAAACCTCTACAAACAAAACAAATCCCTCACATCCTTGTACATATCATCTCCCAGACACACATACACATTTCTTACTCTAGAGTGCTGTTTAGTTGAGGAATATTTGTCTAAATATGTGCTGAATTTTTAAACACAGTCAGCATACGGTTTTATAGTTTTATTTCTTAAAACAAGGGACACTCCGTACTAAAGTCTATTATATACAAATAAATGGTTGGGTGTCTTTTTATATTTTTAACTTTTATGATTTTTATATGTGTGTATATATATCACATATATATATACATAGTGGAGGAAAGTTTATCTGTGATAACTGTAAGGTCTAACTAGATCCTGCTGGCTTTGATCATAGACTTTGTGTGCTGCATAATATTATTGTTTTAGATAGACATTTCTACTATGATTGTTTGTAGTACATGTTCTCTAAGATCCCTTTCAGTTCTGATGCTCTATGATTATATGTTGAAAGACCAATGATTCTCTAAATGAAGATGGAGGAATGGTGAAGAAGATGGTAAGAAAATAGAATTTAATATGACTCCTGCTGCGTTTTGTTAACTGAATTGTAATAAGGGATAATTGCTGATAGGCATTATGTTTGGTGGGGAAAAAAGTAGCATTACTTGTCCAGGATAGTATTTTGTTTATGAAGCATGATTTATACAAGGGAGGGGGTTCCTCAAAAAGTTCATGGAAAATGTGTGCTATCGGACTGGTCCTTCAGCCTGGGAGGGAGCTGATTCCCACAAGGCCTACCTCAGTTTCAGTCCCAGCTCCAGAGGTTTTATAAACATGCCAGGCATGTGTGTGTGTCTGTCTCCCAAATCCCAGCGGAGTGGAGAAATTGTGGCATGACCATGTCCCAATGAGGAAGGTTCTTTCTCTCTCAGTCTGTGTGTCTGTCTAGCACATAGCCTCTGGTAATTAAAACAAAAAGAAAATATGTATTAAAAAACCGTGTATGGATTTCAGATTTTTTTGCACTAAAATAAAATTTGTGCTTCAGTGCATTTTTCCATGAACACTTATTTTTATTGCCAGAGACCATGTGTGGTTGTGTCACATGAGCCAGGAGAAGGCACAGCCCCCAGTGGGGTGTCGTCATGTCTCCACGTTTCCCTCCATTTCCTCATCCTGTCGGGATTTGGGGCATGCACAAGCACACATATGACCGATGTGTTTTCAAAACCTCTAGGGCAAGGATTCTAACTGCTAGCAGCCGCGTGGAATCTGGATCCTTTCCCCAATGAGCTCCCAGGCCAGTCCTCCATCAACTTTTTGGGCCCCCTTGTACTCAGGACTTTGAGACTTAAAAGTGAAAAATCTTTCTTTACCTCGAATTCGTTAGCCAGTGTCATGTTTCAAAACACTTTTTACCTTGTACAAGTTGCCTTTTAAGAAAAGTTATAACTAGAGTTTCTAATACTAATGGTAAGGGATTTTTAAAATAGTTTACTTAAACAAGCTTAAGTAACTGAAACTTTGGAGTTATTTCAAAAGTGCGCGTATAGTAAGCATTCACCTTATTTCTGTGGTATTACTCAGGGTTAAACGAACTACTGCAATGATAGTAAACTGACTTGAAATTAATGCAGTATGAGAAAATGCTTACTGTGTACTTTTTGTTCAGGAATCAAAGGACGAACAGTGGAAACGAGCTATGGACTATTTAAACGTTGTCAATGAGCTCAACTACATGACTCAGATTGTTATCATGCTTTATGAGGATCCTAACAAGGTAACAGCTCTTGCTTGGTGGTGCCGCCAGAGGTAAATAAATAGCTTGCCGTTTTTCATTTGTAAAATGTTCTGTCATATTTTTTAGGATCTTTCCTCAGAGGAACGCTTTCATGTTGAATTACATTTTAGTCCAGGAGCCAAAGGCTGTGAAGAAGACAAAAATTTACCTTCTGGTTATGGATATAGACCAGCTTCCAGAGAGGTAATGAAATTGGAACTCCGATTGGTTACTGTAATTCTAGATTTCCATGAGTTTTCTATAATCTTAATAAGAAATCATTCTTACTTATACTACTAATAGCAGAATAGCTTGAATTTTGTTTAAGTATGATTTCAGTACACAGCATTCTTATACATTTTAGAATACTTAGGAATTTAACATTTATTTATATTTCTTCCTTTTTTTGGAGAGGTTTTTGCTATAGGTTGCATGCACTCACCAGAAAGACAGAAAGCAAGAAATCACCCCCCCGGGGGGATGGCCACCCTGCAGTTCTTTCTCCTCCATTCTCCTCTCAGGATCTTGGGCACACACACACATACGTGCCTGGCATGAGTTTTAAGCCACTGGATCCAGGACTCAAACCACGGTCATCTACATGGGAGTTCAGCGACAATGTTTCAAAACACTTTTTACCTTGTACAAGTTGCCTTTTAAGAAAAGTTATAACTAGAGTTTCTAATACTAATGGTAAGGGATTTTTAAAATAGTTTACTTAAACAAGCTTAAGTAACTGAAACTTTGGAGTTATTTCAAAAGTGCGCGTATAGTAAGCATTCACCTTATTTCTGTGGTATTACTCAGGGTTAAACGAACTACTGCAATGATAGTAAACTGACTTGAAATTAATGCAGTATGAGAAAATGCTTACTGTGTACTTTTTGTTCAGGAATCAAAGGACGAACAGTGGAAACGAGCTATGGACTATTTAAACGTTGTCAATGAGCTCAACTACATGACTCAGATTGTTATCATGCTTTATGAGGATCCTAACAAGGTAACAGCTCTTGCTTGGTGGTGCCGCCAGAGGTAAATAAATAGCTTGCCGTTTTTCATTTGTAAAATGTTCTGTCATATTTTTTAGGATCTTTCCTCAGAGGAACGCTTTCATGTTGAATTACATTTTAGTCCAGGAGCCAAAGGCTGTGAAGAAGACAAAAATTTACCTTCTGGTTATGGATATAGACCAGCTTCCAGAGAGGTAATGAAATTGGAACTCCGATTGGTTACTGTAATTCTAGATTTCCATGAGTTTTCTATAATCTTAATAAGAAATCATTCTTACTTATACTACTAATAGCAGAATAGCTTGAATTTTGTTTAAGTATGATTTCAGTACACAGCATTCTTATACATTTTAGAATACTTAGGAATTTAACATTTATTTATATTTCTTCCTTTTTTTGGAGAGGTTTTTGCTATAGGTTGCATGCACTCACCAGAAAGACAGAAAGCAAGAAATCACCCCCCCGGGGGGATGGCCACCCTGCAGTTCTTTCTCCTCCATTCTCCTCTCAGGATCTTGGGCACACACACACATACGTGCCTGGCATGAGTTTTAAGCCACTGGATCCAGGACTCAAACCACGGTCATCTACATGGGAGTTCAGCGACATAGCCATTACGTTAACTGCTGGTGCCTATTTCTTCTATCTTAAGCCCATTATTTAGAATAGACAACTAACTTTTGTTTCATTTTGCTTTTTTGTTGTTTTACTCGAGAATTACTTCACATGAAGCACTTGGCATGAACTACTGCATTTTAATCTTTGATCTCTTACTATTATTTTATATTCCAGGCTGTTGTTGATGGAATGCTGGACATTAGAAATTTAAAACTACCGATATCATTAGAAGCTGTAGTTGATGTTATGTTCCTCCAGTAGGATTTACTTTTGTTTTTGACAGACAACCAGACTTACGGAAATTACAGGAGAAATAGAAATCTAGATCATCCTACTCCAGTTAGTGTTTGTGATGATTCAGCTGTGTCTTTAGCCAAAGAAAAGCTGATCTATTTCTTATCTACCCTTATTTCCAGGGTGTGGCCAGGAAGCATTGGTATTTATTGATTACAAATCTATGGTATAGACCAGTGTTCTCCTTATCTGATCTTGAGTTTCAGTGTGTGTGTCTATGTTTCTAACCATGTTTTGATCTATCTTCCTGGTAGATTAATTTTTTTTTCATTATGGTCTCTTATTTCTAATAACGATTTTTGTTTTGAAATTTATTTAAAAATATTTCTTGTATGTATTATCATCATCATCATTATTATTATTTTTAAATTTGAGGAGAGAGAAAGGCAAAGTGAGAAAACAAGCCACCAGATCTGGGACTGGAACTGTATTCAGCCAGGTGGGAGTCCCACACCTTAACCACTACACCACCTGCTGGCCCCCTTTTAAGTGTATTAATCTGAAACACACAATAGAGAATAGTTTAGTGACTGTGTTCTCAATTCTCCCAAGAATTACACACCTTATCATACATAGTTTTAGATGCATAGGAGAGAAGTGAGTTCATTACATAAGGTGGCTATTTCTATCACTGCTTCTCTCATATAATCTCAGTTGAGAAAGTTTGAATGATATTCCTTTTTTTACCCATTTACTGTCAAACTTTTGGATTTGTGTTTCTTTTAAACAGGATTTACTTAAGTTTTACTTTATTACCCTGTCTCACAATCTGTCTTTTTTTATTTTTCGGAGAGGTTTTTGCTAT